TGTTTTTCTTTCCTATCAGTATACCTTCTTGTTCTTGATTTTGTCTTATTGCATTAGCTAGGATTTTTCTGGTAAAATGTTGAAAAGGTGAGAGAGGATATCCTACTTTTGTTCCTCATTTTAGCAGGAAAGCTTCTAGTTTCTTACATTATTTTTAATTTCTATTGCTTTTCTTTTAAATGTCAAGTCTTATTCTAAAATCTTTTTATTTCCCCAGCAACTTTAGATACGATTTGAGGGCTTTCTCTTTATACGATCAGGACATTAGTGCCTGTATACTGCTCTCCATTGTTTCTACTTAATTTGTGTTAGTCATTATGCATTATCAAAGTTTATAGTATTTACATCCTATCTGTAATTAATTCTTTTGTGTTTTGTCTAATGAAATATAAAGGTTAAAAACCATTGAGTAGCATTTACTGTATTTTAACTGTATAATTTCTTTCCTTGCAGGACCTACCTACTAGGGTATTTGGAACAGTGAGAAAAGAAGTATAATTCTCTCATTAAATTATTTTAGCAGGCCAGGCTCAGTGGCTCAGCCTGTAATCTCAGCACTTTGGGAGGCCAAGGCGAATGGATTACCTGAGCCCATGGGTTTGAGACCAACCTGGGCAACTTGGTGAGACCTTGTCTCTACAATTAAAATACAGCGCGCGCCTGTATTTCTGGCTACTTGGAAGGCTAAGGCGGAAGGATCGCCAGAGCCCAGCAGGTCAACGTTGGGGTGACCATGAGCATGCTATTGCACTGCAGCCTGGGCAACAGAGTAAGACTCTACCTCAAAAAAAAAAAATTATTTTAGGGATAGAGTTTAAAGAATCAAGGTTTAAAGTATTTAAAGAATCTAATGGCTTCTCTTACACTTCCAAGTTTACTATCAAGCCATAATTTATAATTTTTTTTTATAAAGTAGGTTTGTACTTTATCACATCTTTAGTTCTTTAGCCACTGAGATAGTCATATTTTTTTTCCTTGAGTCTTTTAATGTGCTAATTACACTAATGAACTACTCTTACATTATTGAAATAAATAGTGCTTGATTATTGTTTCTCTTTCATATTCTATTGGATTCAGTTAACTAATAGTTTATAGAGGATTTTTATATCTATGTCTTTTGTGAAATTGGCCTGGAACTCTGCAAAATTATCATGACTTGGGACTTCATGGGAGTAGGAGAATTAGCTACTATTTCTTTTGTTTCTCATATTGACATATGATGTTCTTTGACCAAAATGTGATAAAAATAAGAACTCAGTCTACAAATCTTGTGCCAATTTTGGCAATTTATTTCTTTCAAAATTGTATACATTTCATCTGAGTTTTCAAGTTTATTTCATAGTTCATGATTTTTACAGTTTTTAGTATTTTTATTTTCTATAGTATTTCTTTTTAATTTTGTTATTAATTATCTACAGTTATTTTTCCTTTAGTGTGTGTGTGTGTGTGTGTGTGTGTGTGTGTGTGTGTGTGTGTGAAGATGAGATCTCACTATGTTATCTAGTCTGGTCTCAAACCCCTGGGCTGAACCAGTTCTCTTGCCTTGGCTTCCCAAAGTGCTGGGATTATATTATCTTTTCCTCCAGAGTAGGCTTTCCAGATAATTTGTCTATCTAAATAATAATCCTCTGTATTGGTGTTTTAGTTTTCTATTTCATTGTTGTCTGCCCTTAGTTTATTTCCTTTCTTATTCTTTGGGCTTACTGTTGTACTTTTTTAGACTTCTTAGGTTGAATATTAATAAGCTCATCTATTTCTATTCTTTCTTGGTATTTGATAAATTCTGTAACTTTCCCTCTAAACACCACTTTAGTTGTAACCTGTATTAATTCTGTTGTCATTCATCTGAAGAGTATTTTATTATCCTTAAAAATTCCTCTCTAAAGGAATTAGAAGTGCAGTAGCATGAGCTACCTATGAAACTATAAATGAAAAGCAGGATAAACCCAAGTTAAACAGAAGAAAGGAAATAATAAAGATAGAGCAGATATTAGATTGAAAACAGAAGAAAAAGAAAAAAAATCAGTGAAACTCAAAGTTCTTTCTTTATTTATTTTTTGAGTTATTATGTCACTCTGTCGCCCAGCCTGGAGTGCAGTGGCAGCCACACTCATGACCACTGCAGTCTTGATCCACTGGACTTCATCCTTCCGCCTCGGCCTTCCAAATAACTGGAACCACAGGCATGCACCACCACGTGCAGCTATTTTTTTGATTAATTGTAAAGAAGAGGTCTCACCATGTTGTCCAGGATGGTCTCAAACCCATGGGCTCAGGCAATCCTGTAGCTCTGCCTCCCAAAGTGCTGGGATTATAGGTACCATATCTGGCAGAAACCAAAAGTTTAAAAAAAAATCGATAAAATGGATAAACCTCTAGCCAGACTACAAAGAAAAAAAAAAAGACAAATTACCAGTCTCATGAATGAAAGAAATCATACCACTATAGACTGCACAGGCATTAAAAAAAGGTAATACAGATAACTCTAAAGATATAAATTCAACAACTTTGATGAAATGGGCCAGTTCCTCAGAAACCACTCTTCGTTTCCTAGTTCTCCTTTAACAAATTACTACAAACTCAGTGGCTTAAAACAACATAAATTTATTATCCACAGTTCTGGAGGCCAGATATTTATAAACTGGACTTTACTTAAGAAAATTGTATTTGTATACATGTATATACATGTTCCCCAATCACTGCTTAATATAGCTTCATCACCTGTTATGTGGCGTGCTCATGTTTCTTACACAAGTACAGTCAGAATGGTCTTGTTGCTGTGGCAGTCCTGGCTGAGTATAAGTCTTTTTTTTACACATCCATTTTGACTATATGCAAAAATACCCACTTCTCCCCCCACCCCAGTTTGATGATATGTATCTAGTAGAGCAGTGATTCTTAAACTTTAGCATGTATTAGGGTCACCTAGAGAGCTTTTGAAAAGATGAATTGCTAGGCCTCACACTGAGAGTTTCCAATTTTGAAGTTTGGGGATGGGCCCAATAATTTATAATTCTAACCAGCACTCGGGTGATGCTAATGATGGGTTGGGGAACCAGCTTTGAGGACCAGTTTACTCTGTTTAACTCTTGTGCATCAAAATCACCTGAGGAGTCACCATCCTCACTTTTCTAGAACTGGCTTTTGTTCAGATAAGTGTTTGGACGCTCTGCTAAAAAAAAAAAACGGTATTAGCAGGATTTTATGAGCATTTTTAACAGAATCAGCTCCGTAACAAGTATAAATAAGATTTTTTTATGCCACATCTCCATAGCACCTGTGATAAATATAAATAGTGGAAGGACTGGCCAGATGTGTGGTTTGGCGATTTTAGTTCACACAAATCTGTGTTTCATCAGTAACCTACTCTTCGGTTTTGGCCAATTCCTATAAGTGCCTCCTGCAAATTGCTTATTAGTTGTAAGGGATAAATAGTAAAAATACATTGGAGAAATTGGCTATCACTTTGGGTGATCAAAATTAACATCACCAATGGAGGGAAGATGAACATCATATCTCTCCAGCTATCATACCTTTAGAAGGACACAACTTATACAGCAGTCTGATTGGTCATACTTGTCTGGAATCTGATAATAAGGAAACAGACAAATCCAAATAAGAGGTATTCTGTTTTTTGAAAAGGGCCTGTATTGTTCTTAAATAGCAATGTCATAAAAGATAAAGATTGAGGAACTATTCCAGATTAAAGGAGATTAAAGAGATATGATAGCTAAATACTGCATATGATCCTAGGTCAGGTCCTGTACTGAAGAGGAAAAATGCTGGTGATGTGACAAATTAGAATATAGATGGTATTTTAGATAAAAAGTATTGTGTCAATTTTGAACTTCCTGAAGTTTTGATAACAGTATTATGGTAATATAAGATAATCAATCTCCTTAGGAGAAACACTGAAATATTTAGAGGTAAAATATATGATAGTGCAAGTTAAGTGGATCAGAAAAATATATATGAGATATATATAAAATATATATATACGAGCGAGCAAAATGATAAGCAAATGGGGCAAGGATTCAGGTGTTCTCTGCAACTTTTTTTGAAAGTTTGGAATTATTTCCCCCAAAACAGTTAAAAACAAGTACCCTCTGCCTTTCATTTCAGGATAATTGTAAAGATTTAAAAACTACATACAAATGATTTTTTTTATTTTATTTTAAAGATGTGGGGTATTCAAGATTAGGTATACAAGTGGTCATCATACAGGTAAAGTTTGGGCCTCTCTTTGGTCCCCACTTCACCTGGTTTGAGATCAGGTACCCTTACTGATGTTGTATTCCCCCGCTGCCTCCCCCCTCCCAGCAGTATCCCATTGCTGCCAATCCCTTTCTTAAATTATTAAGGTAAATGTTCACAGTTCGCTTATGACTGAGAGCATATGGTACTCAGTTCTTTGTTTCTGTGATAGGTTGCTGAGTATGATAGACTCTAAATCAATCCAAGTTGCTGCAAAGCCATATGTTTGACCTTCTTTACAGTTGCCTAATATTCCATTGTGTATATGTATCACCTTTTTTTTTTTATCCAGTCCAGTTTCAATGGGCAGCACTGTTGGTTTCATGTTTTAGCTATTGTGAATAGCACTGCAATAAACATGCATGTGCATACAAATTTTTTTTTTAAAAGAGTGTTCCTCAGATAGTAGCTTATATGCTACTTAGTCTAGCTAACCTTGTGTCTCATTCTACGGATGTTCTCAGCTTGGTTGTTAGCTCCAAGAGCGTACAAGGAGGTCAGCATCCTCTGATCTGTAATTCTCTCCCCACCCCACATTGGGCAGCATCTTGAACATGTCTTGAGTCGTGCTTCAGATGCACTGAAGTCTAAAATTTGTCATTTTATCTAAAACTCATTCTATTACAGTAGCAAATTTTAGTTTGGTTTCAACTGGCTAAACTAATGTGTGACTCACCTGGTCATAGTCTATTACTATATATTGAATGTATATTCGTTTTGAATAGTATATTTCTCTTTCAGCCCAAAATGGAGTTAATCCTGACTGGGAGAAGAAAGTAATTGAATATTTTAAGGAAAAGCTGAAGGAAAATAATGCTCCTAAGTGGGTAAGCTTGCTGCTATTTTGGAGGGAGAGGGTTGGGCATACTACATTTTTTCTCCGTAGAGTAGTAACCCTCATGTAATTTAAAAATATATAAATTAATATGTACTTTTGCTCTAAGTGCACTTGTGTTGAAGTTTTTTATTTCTTTTGCAACTTAAGTTCCAGCATTAAAATCTACATTGTGCCTCTAGGTGGCAGTAACTAACTATGTTATTCCTAAGGTAAATCTTTAGTTGCAAGAGTTTCAATTGCCTTTGTTTTATTGCCTTCATTTTAAAAGAATTGACATGTATTAATTTTAATTAGGAAGCACTCAATAATGTAAATGCCTTTTGGCATATATTAAATTTTTCAGCATTGTTCCTCTTCAGTACAGGACCTAGCCTAGGATCAAATATTGTATTTAGTAAAGGAAAAATATTCTTTTATGGTTAAATGTTATCTTACAAACTTATAAGAACAGCTTTACTATGTTGACCATTGAGATCAGTTGGCTCCCTGATGGGGATTGGAGGGGGTGGTGTGCATGCAACACTTGGTGTCTGGATATAAAGTCTTTGTATATATGCTTGATGTCTTATAGACAAGATATTTGACTGACTTAGCTTGATTTTTTTTTTTTTTTTTTTTTTTCCTTTAAGGTACCGTCACTGAATGAAGTTCCTCTTCATTATTTGAAACCTAACAGTTTTGTGAAATTTCGTTGCATGATTCAGGATATGTTTGACCCTGAGTTTTACATGGGAGTTTATGAAACGGTTAACCAAAACACAAAAGCACGTGTATGTATTGCTTTTTTAATGAATTTGTGGTATTAATTGTGTTCTTGTGTTATTTATGGTAGTTTTGAATCTGATATATTGATATAATATTGTTATCCTGTTTTGGGCCATAGGTTCTTCATTTTGGAAAATATAGAGATGTTGCAGAGTGTGGGGTATGTATCTTTAAGATATATAAGAACATTTAAAATATTTTTTCTAAACAATTTGTTTGCTTGATCTTAACATTTGTCTATCTTGTGTGTATTTAAGTTCTAAGAAATCATGTGAAGTGTTTTCTTTATTTGGCTTTATTTAAGAGTTTTTCTGATGTGATTTTTTTTGGACTTTCTAAAGATCTTTTAGAAAAGGGAATATTGTTAATGACAAAATTAATTCCTTTTTCCAATATCTGTATACAATATCTGTAATAAACAATACCCTAGATTACAAATTATGTTCTTTTTAATTCTTCCAAAGATAAAGCCCATGGTAATTCCACTATCGCTTTCATAGAAAGCTGTCAGAGGCAGCCTATAATACAGGAATTTAACGAAATAGTCATTACTAGATAGCTCTGAGATGAGATTAAAAGTCAGATGTAACTCCCTAGTAAAGGCATATTCTGTATTTCAAATATACTTAGAAAACCCTAAGAGATAGAAAGGACCCAAGAGATATCAAGTCTAAGCCTAACCCATACAAGCTAGGAAATTTTGTTTGCTTCTTTATTTCCAGGCCCAAGGTCCCCTTTTCCTGGAATGGGGCTTTTTTGTATGACTCTTTAGCAATATGCAATTATATAAAAATCCTCTCTTAAGCCTTTGGTAATATCACAGATTGACAGTCTCACCTATTTTATTGGCTCATTTTCTGATGCTAAGATAACTTAGTTGTGTTGCATTATTGAATACTAGAAAACATTGTGTATTACTATATTAGCCTGATATGTTAGGGCTCCTTAACAAGGGATATGGTAAACATTAATAAAGATGATCTATTAGACTTAGCATAATATTTATCTTATGGAAACACTCTGAAAGAAAAAAGACATTGAGAGACCTGAAGTTCATTATGTATAAGATGACACAAATCTATCTACAAATGAGTTCATTACTCTAAATAATTGTCAGACGCAGCCGGGCTCGGTGGCTCAGCCTGTAATCCCGTGCCTTTGGGAGGCTGAGGTGAGTGGATTGCCTGAGCCCATGGGTTCGAGACCTGCCGGGGCAGCGAGACCTCATCTCTACAATAAATTAAAAAATCAGCCGGGCGTGGTAGCGCATGCCTGTAATTCCGGCTACTTGGAAGGCTGAGGCGGAAGGATCGCCGGAGCCCAGCAGGTCGAGGCTGCGGTGGCCGGGAGCGGCCACTGCACTCCAGTCTGGGCGACCGAGTGAGACTCCAACTAAAAAATAATAATAATAATAATAATTGTCAGATGCTACATTTTTATCAAATATAATCTTTGCAGTAGCCTTCCACATTAGGGCAGTTCTTCTGTCCTGATCTACCCACTGAACTGGAGTACTGCAGTCAGGAACAACTTTTGCTGTGAATTAACAGGCTACTGTTAGAGTGTGATAAATCAGTTTCTTGAGGTTTGAGTAAGCAGGAGTTAGAATGTAAAAAGCCCTAGATAACCTGAGAAAACTAAGATGTTGGATCCACAAAACAGAACTAGACCCAGAACATAAGTAACTCCACAGAGTTCCCACTTTTATGGATATGAGGGAGGTAGTATTTTGATTATTGCATTTGATATTATTTTATATTCGTTTTCTTTAAAAAAAAAAAAGTGATAGCTTGGGGCTAGGTGTAGTGACTCATGCCTGTAATGCCAGCACTTTGGGAAGCCAAGGTGGGTGGTTCACCTGAGGCCAGGAGTTCAAGACCACCCTGGGCAACATATCAAGACCCCCATCTCTAAACATAAAATAAAAATTTTTTTTTAAAATAATATCTTAGAATTAGTTGCTTGCTATTTAGCTTTATTTTATTTTTATTTTCTTTCATTTTATTCTTTTAGCTGAGGTTTTACTCTGTCACCCAGGCTGGAGTGCAATGGCATGGTCATGGTTCACTGCAGCCTCAGCCTCCTGAGTAGCTGAGACTACAGGTGTGTGCCACCACAACTGACTAGTTTTGATTTTTTTGTAGAGACAAGGTGTTGCTATGTTGCCTAGGCTGGTCTCAAACTCCTAGGCTCAAGCAGTCCTTCTGCCTTGGCTTCCCAGAGTGCTAGGATTTAACATGAGCCACCACACTCGACCTGAAATTAACTTTTTTTTTTGAGTTGTCTCACTCCGTCGCCCAGGCTGGAGTGCAGTGGCATGCTCAAAGCCATCCATCCTAGCATCAACCTGCTGGGCTCTGGCAATCCTTCTGTCTCAGCCTTCTAAGTAGCCAGAACTACAGGAGTGCGCTACCATGCCCAGCTAATTTTTTGATTTTTATTGTAGAGATGAGGTCTCACCATGTTGCCCAGGCTGGTCTCAATCCCGCGGGCTCAGGCAGTCGTCTCGCCTTGGCCTCCCAAAGTGCTGGGATTACAGGCTTGAGCCACCGTGCCTGACTTTAAATTAACTTTTAATATAAAGTGTTTATAGTAGTGTTATAAATAATATGAAAATGCAATTACTGATTACAGTTTTTTGTTTTTTCTTAGTAAATTTTTTAAAATACATTTTGTATACATTACAGCCTCAACAGGAACTTGATTTAAACTCACCACGAACTACCACTTTGGAAAGACAGACTTTCTATTGTGTTCCAGTGCCTGGGGAATCTACATGGGTAAAAGAAATATCCTTTACCTGAGTCTTCTTATGGGTTGAATAGTTCCTAATTAATTTTTTAACTAAAAAGACCACAACGCAGACTCCAAGTTTCTAAAAACTTAGTCTGTTTACCCCAGTGAAGTTAGCTGGAAAAACAATTCTTTATTTACAAAACCTGGCTTCATTTTAATAAAATGTGTTTTATTTGTCCTAAACAGGAAAACCTGTAAAACAACTTAATGCTAAAGTTGTGGCTTATTACTGTAGTGAAATACTGTTTAAAAGATAGAGGTAGATTTAAAGGTACCAAAAAGAGAGAGCATCATGATAACTAAGTAAAAAAATTTTTAAAGTTTCAAATTAGAATTCATTCTAATTTTCTTTTTTGGGGCGTTGGCGTCTCATTCTGTCGCCCAGGCTAGAGTGTAGTGGCATGCTCACGGCCACCGCAGCCTCAACCTGCTGGGCTCAGGTGATCCTTCTACCTCAGCCTTCCAAGTAGCTGGAACTACAGTCATGTGCCACCATGCCAGGCTAGTTTTTTGATTTATTGTAGAGATGAGGTCTTGCCAAGTTTCCCAGGCTGGTCTCAAACTCCTGAACTCAGGCAATCCTCTCGCCTCTGCCTCCCAAAGTGCTGGGATTACAAGCATGAGCCACTGCCCCCGGCCATTCTGATTTTCTTAAAGGAAAACAGCATGTTGGTTCTTTTGGGAGGAGATTGTGGAAACATTTGTCTCATTTTTATTTATTTATTTAAGGTAGAAAATTTTTAAAGCATTGCTCACATACACTGAAATGCATAGATTTTATTATCACCGTGCTCTAACCAACCAAGCTAACTGGCCACCCAGAGCACAGATGTTAAAGATACACTTCAGTGATGTGATAAATGCCCATAACATTTATACTCCAGTCAAAGAAAAGAGCTTGTACTGAAAAATTCCCTTCTGCCTTTTTTCACTTCCTCCCCTGCAATCATTGTCGTGAATTCTTACACCATAGTTTAGTTTGACCTGTTCTTGACTATCATATAAATGGAAACATACAGTATATAGTCTTTTTGTGTTTGACTTATTTTAACATTATGCATTTGAGAGTCATCCCATGTATTATATATCAGTACTTCATTCCTTTTTATTGCTGAGTGTTACTTATTTATACAGTCTCTCATTGATGAGCATTTTGGTTATTTCCAATTTTGAGCCTGGCATTTCTTTGTGAGATTTTAAATTACTAATTTGACTTTTTTTTTTTTTTTGAGTCTGAGTCTCACTCTGTCACCCAGGCTGCTAGAGTGTAGTGGTATGATCACAGATTACTGCAACCTTGAAGTCCTGGGCTCAAGAGATCATCCTGTCTCAGCCTCCTGAGTAACAAGAACTACAGGCACACACCACTATGCCTGGTCTTGCTGTGTTGCCCAGTCTGGTCTTGAACTTCTGTCCTAAAGTGATTCTCCTGCCTGAGCCTTCCAAAATGCTGGAGTTTCAGGTTTAAGCCACCATGTCCAGCCCAGTTCTAGATTTTTCATCTTGTTTTTTCATTGTTTTCATTTCTCTTCTATTATTTCTCAAATGTTGACTTACTATATCTATCTTTTCTTTTAAAATTGTAAATTTGATAGTTGTGTTTTAATGTCCTTGTCTGCTAATTCCGTTATCCAGGTCATCTCTGGTTTTGCTTCTATTGTCTGATTTTAACCTTTATTATAGATCATAGATACATGCTTCTCCACTTAACTAATAATACTTTATTTTATACTGATATTCAACATTGTAGAGAGCTTAGTTTTTTGTCTTCTTTTCAAGAATGTTGCATTTTGTTCTGACAATCAGATATTTTATTGGCCCAGTCGGCTCTTGTCAAGGTTGGGTTTTAGGATTTGATAAGGTTGGTGTAGAGCAACCTTTGCTGCATAGGACATGGTCCTTATTAATGAGGTGTGGTCTCTCTGTGTCTCATGTAAATGCCTGGGATGGTCAACGTAGTCCAGTTCTTGTACTGTGCCCCTTCCAGAGTCTCCATTTAACTCTTGGCCAACCAGAGGCTGTTCTCTCCTAGGCCTCAAGGAATCTTGACTTGTATATCCACAGATTATTATTTGGTCAAAGACCAAACAGAGCCTACCCAGTTTTCTGGGTCTTTCTCTAAGGGCAGCTGCTTCCTCTTTAGTACTTTTTAAAAAATTCCACTTGCTACAATAGCCTGAACCGACATGCTCTATTTTAGAGCTTGCAAGAGCAGAGCAGAGCCTCCACTTCTCTTTGTTGCAGTTTGAAAACTGTCTCCCAGAGAGTTGGAGAATATAGAGTTTACCAGGTGTGTTTCTCCTCATTCAAGGATCATAGCCTCATGCTTGCTGTTGTCCAGTGACTGAAAACAGTTGCTTTACATATCTTGTCCAGTTATATAGCTGTTTACAGTAAGGATAGAGGCATATGGTTGATACCTGTTACTCTCATGATCCAAACTGGAAGTCTAGCCCCCTTTTAAAAATACATTTCCATTGTAACTGAATTGCCAAACTTTTGTAAGTCATAATTAGCATAACATTTAGGATATTCCTCAGTTCATGGTAGTCTTTTCTTAACCTTTCATTTAACGCCTATGTTAATGCAAACCAAGCTCGAGTCAGTCCTTCAACATCCTATACTCCCAGTCGTCACAAAAGGAGTTATGAAGATGATGAAGATATGGACCTACAGCCCAATAAACAGAAGGACCAATATGCAGGTGCCAGACAAGCAGGTAGTGTGTGCCAACAGACTTCCTGTAGATTTCTGCTTTCTTACAGTAGATTTGTTTTCAGAATTGTTACGCAATATAGGTCAACATTTAAGAGCTGAAAATGATGTAGCAGCCTTACTTTCAAGTTTCTCAGAACTATAGACGGTTTTGAGATTTTTTTTTTTTTTTTCTGAGTTGGAGTCTCACTCTTTCACCCAGGCTGGAGTGCAATAGCATGCTCATGGCCAGCACAGCCGCGACCTGCTTGGCTCAGGTGATCCTTCTGCCTCAACCTTACAAGTAACTGGAACTACAGGCACACGACACCATGCCTGGCTAATTTTTTGATTTATTGTAGAGACGCAGTCTTGCCAAGTTGCCTAGGCTGTTTCTCGAACCCCTGGGCTCAGGCAATCCTCTCGCCTTGGCCTTCCAAAGTGCTAGGATTACAGGCTTGAACCACCGTGCATGGCCTGGTTTTGAGAATTTTAAAGATACTCTGGTCAGGCTGTGCTTCATAACTGAGCAGTTAGGCATCACTTAGTGTGAAATGGCTGCTCTAAAGTATGTTTTTAGATTCTCACATGGTGAGCAGGAAAGGGTCTTTTTTATCTTTCTTCGTATTTATTTTTTTCCAACTCATATATGAAAGCATGGTACTTTACCCTAAAAATTACTTATTTATATCTGAAAATATCCTTTCTTGTTTTCTTTTTGGAACAGTGAAACTTTAATTTTGTAGGACTAAAAATATCAAAGGAAAAACATGGCGTTGTGATGTACTAGATGAATTTGTAATGGTTTATTTTTTAAAACATATTTTAAAAAGAACTACAACTACTTCAGTTTAAAACAGATGGAAATTTGAAATATCTAAGAGCATGATAAAGTTTTAGAATCGATGTATATCATTGATTTCAATCACAGCTTTTATAAGCAGTGACTTTCTTTGTTATGGCAGGTAGATAAGTTTGTCTATTTATGTGCTAGTCACTTCCCTTTAGTACTTTTAATCAGAAAGAATGTTAAAGGAAAAGGAGGTAAAACAAATCAGTCTGGTCATTTATTATCTGCAAGATTGGGTTGAGAAAGCAAATTTAACAATCAGCATTTAAAAAAAAGATTTACTAATGAATCTCACTTAACCATATATTTTCCTAATTTATAAACTCATATTACTGAATTTCTTTAATACTAAGACATATCTTAATGTTTGTAAAATTGGAATGCTTTACAGTGAATATATGCAAATATGGGTAGTAGTCTTTTTTTCCCACCTGCTCACAAAGTTTATTAAAATTAAGGTTGTATCCTAACCGAGTGATATATTCAAGTTCAGGAAATATGGTGATTTTTCTCTTTCTCTCATCACTTAAGCAGTTGGTACCACTTTCTTTTTTTTTAATGTATGTATTTGTTTTGTAGATATATAGATATAGGTTTGTTTTTTTTTTTTTGAGTCAGAGTCTCACTCTGTCGCCCAGGCTGGAGTGCAGTGGCAAGCTCATGGTCACCACTGCAGTCTTGACCTTCCAGGTTCAGGAGATCCTTCCACCTCAGCTTTCCAAGTAACCATAACTATAGATGCACACTACCATGTCTGGGTAATTTTTTGGTTGATTGTAGAGGTCTCACCGAGTTGCCCAGGCTGGTTTCAAACCTGTGGGCTCAGGCAATTCTCTCACCTCGGCCTCCCAAAGTGCTGGGGTTATAGACGTGAGCCACCGCTCCCAGCCCAGGCTGTATTTTGATTCTAATTAGTTATCAGCCCTAAATTGTAACTACTTTAGGAGTAGGGACGATCTTTTAATGATCTGTATATTCCCAACAGCTGTCTGATTTCTGGTACATAGTGAATGTTAATAAATATTTGGTAAATGCATTTATTGCCATATGATTTTGTTTTACTTAATTAGTGGAAAAAAATATGTTCTACCAAGGTATTTTTTCCCCCTTAGGTCAAAGATGTCACTGTAACCATATTGAATATTAACTTTTGAAAGTTATACAAGATTTGATGGGAGAAATTTGTAGCTATTTTATAGCAGGAAAAAAATTAAATTTTTGGATCTTCATATTTATCTTTCTTCTCTTAAAAGTCTAATAAAGAATTTTGTTAATATGTGCTATTTTCTTAAAAACTGTAACAACTTGAATTTTGAAAGCTCAGAAGCATCATTTATATCAAACTTGAAAGGCACTTATGGAATGTTCTTTTTCTCTAGGAGGCCTTAGAAATGACTAAGTGCAATACTATCCTTTGAATTTAGGGAGTGTTGGTGGTCTTCAATGGTGTGGAGAGCCAAAACGTTTAGAAACTGAAGCTTCTGCTGGACAACAGCTGAACTCCCTGAACCTCTCTTCTCCTTTTGATCTGAATTTTCCATTGCCAGGAGAGAAGGGACCTGCATGCCTTGTGAAGGTAATAAAACCTTTCACTAGATCTGACATCGATAGGTTATGTTCTCAGAAGTTAAAATGGAAAATTGCTAGCATTTGTATTAGTTTTCTTTTGCTACTATAGCAAATTACTACAAACTTAGCCTAAAGCAACAAAAATCTATTATGTTATAGGCTTTAGGTCAGAAGTCCAATGTGTCTTTCACTGGGGTAAAATCAAAGTGCTGGCAGGGCTACATTCCTTTCTTGAGCCTGTAGGGGAGAATTTGGTTTTGGTTTTTTGTTTGTTTCATTTTTGGTTTTTTTTGTTCTTTGTCTTCTTTTGTTTTTCTTTTTTGAGGTTTTTTTTTTTAACATTCTCTAGTTTATTTATTTTTTTCTTTTTTCTGTTTCATTTTTTCTTTTATAGCCTTCTCTAGTTTCTAAAGGCTGCCTGCATTCCATGGCTTGTGGCCCTTTCCATATACAAAGCCAGCAACATTGCATCTGTCTGACCATTTTTTTTTTTAATGGTCACATCTCATCTGATTCCAGCTAGGAAAGGTTCCCCAATTTTAAGGACCTGTATGATTACACAGGGCTCAGCCAGATAAGCCAGGATGATCTCCTCACCTCAGGGCCCTTAATGTAATCACACTCAGAAGTTTGTTTTGCATATAAGGTAACATATTCACAAGTTCCAGGGATTAGATGGCAGACATCTTTGGGGGACCTTTTTTTGAGTAGGAGTCTCACTCTGTCACCCAGACTGGAGTGCAGTGGCATGCCCACAGCCACCTGTGCCTTGACCTGCTGGGCTCAGGTGATCCTTCCATCTCAGCCTTCCATATAGCTGGAACCACAGGCCTGCACCACCACACCTGGCTAATTTTCTGATTTATTATAGAGTTGAGGTCTCGCCAAGTTGCCCAGGCTGGTCTCAAACCCCTGGACTCAGGCAGTCCTCTCGCCTCCATCTCCCAAAGTGCTGGGATTATAGGCATGAGCCACCGTGCTCGTCAACATTCTTTATTTTTAAATTTTGTTTGTTTACCTGCTTATAAGCAATTCTTCTTGAGAGAGACTACCACAGCATTCTTAAAGAATATTTCTAATGCAGAAGTGTAACAATTTTTAAATTTATGTCTATTTCCTGTATTATTTCTCTTTCTTGTGTTCTTTTTCTTTCTTTCTTTCTTTTTTTCTTTGAGACAGTGTTTTGCTCTGTTTCCCAGATTGGAGCAGCACATTTCTTACTATAATCTTGAACTCCTGGGCTCAAGAATCCTCCTGCCTCAGACTCCTGAGTAGCTAGGACTATAAATGCACTTCACCACGCTCAGTGAATTTTTTATATTGCTTTTAGAGATAAGATCTTGCTATGTCACCCAGGTTGGTCTTGAATTCCTGGCCTGAAGTGATCCTCCATTCTTGGCCTCCAAAAGTGCTGGGATTACAGGCATGAGCCACAGCACTCGACCTCCTTCTTGTATCATTTCTAACTTCTTAATAGTCTTCTCATTTTTGCCTTCTTTTTTCTCTTAGCATAGCTCATTTCTCACTTGTATTTAAAATAAGATAGAAGAAATAAAAACTTAATAATTTGTCCTTCTTATTCTGGTTTTTGTTCTTTTTTAATTTTCCACACAACACGGGTATTATCATGATAAGTTAGCAAGAGATATAAGGTTTGAAATTGATCATTGGGAATTTGTTTTCTTATTATTTGTGGATTTAACTTAAATGACACCCCTGTTATATAGCACAAGGGCACGAATCACCACTTTTTCCCCTGCCATGCTTCTATCAAGTCTCACTAGTAAGTAGCCTTGACACTATAATAGTTACTAAAGTTCACCATGACAGACAATTTGAAAGTTTTTTTTTATTGTGAATAATCTAGTCATTCTGAGTTTTATGTTAGTCCTTCTAATGTTGTATAGTTTATGAATAAGCCCAAAATTATTCTTGTTTTTGTTTTAATTTTTTCCTTAGTGTGGTTAATAGGTTTTGAGAAAATGCAGATTTCTAGTTTTAATTGACTATCAGCCTTTAGGAAAAGCCTTTTCTTTGAAGTAGTGTGGTATATTGAAAATAGACATTGACCTGGGAGTCAGAAGTCCTGTGTTTTCGTTTTTAACTTATTTGCTATTTAGCAGAATGACTTTAGACAAGTACCTTACCTTGGTCTCAATTTATAAAATAAAGGAGCTATTTTAAGGTCTGTTTTCTGATCTCAAATTCTAAGATAATGTTACTTATTATTATTGCTTTAAGACTAATACCTTAGACTTTTCTGTTTCAGTTAGTCCTCACGACATGTCTCTTGTTAGGTCTATGAAGATTGGGATTGTTTCAAAGTAAATGACATTCTTGAGCTATATGGCATACTATCTGTGGATCCTGTGTTAAGTATACTGAATAATGATGAAAGGTGAGTCTATTTCTTCTTTTTTCGGTCACTTTTTATGTTGATATAATTTCAGATTTTCAGAAAAGTTACAGCGTAGTTATAAAGAACTCCCCCTTCCTTTACCCAGATTTACCAGTTATCAGCACTTACACCCCATGTGCTTTGTCATTTACTTGTGCTCTCTCTGCACACGTTTTTCTGAAACACTTGAAAGCATGTTGTAGACATCAAACCCTTTTACCTCTAAATACTTGAGTCTGTATTTCCTAAGAACAATGACTTTCTCATATAGAATCAGAAATAATCAGAGTGCAGGTGTCAGAATTAAGAAATTTGCCACAATATACAAATCCACAGTTCACATTTAATTTCACTAATTGTCTCAATTACATTTTTTTTTTTTTTTTACACATTTTACCCCTGCCCCAATCCAGAAATCATAGGATCACTCATTGTGTTAATCTCAAACAGTCCTCAGCCCTTCTTTGTCTTTTGTGGCCTTGACACTTTCTTTTTTTTGGCTTAAACAACAGGAATTTATGCTTCACGGTTTTAGAGGCTAGGAAGTCCAAGATCAAGCAGATCTGATGTCTAGTGAGAGACATTTTGTAGGTTGCAGATGACCATCTTCTTACATAGTAGAGAGCAGAGAGCCTTGACACTTTTCTTGAAGAGTATAAACCAGTTACTTTGTAGACTGTCTCTCAGTGTCATCAGTGTCTAATGTTTCTTTGTAATTAGATTGAGGTTATAGATTTCTGGCAGGATTACCACAGAAATGATGTATCCTCAGAAGTTTATAGCAGGAGGCATGTGATGTCAGTTTATCCCCTTAGCAGTGATGTTAATTTTGATCACCTGGTTAAGGTAGTGCATACCAGGTGTCTCTTCTATAGAGTTACTGTTCTTCACTTTGTAATTGACAATTAATTTGAAGGAAGATACTTGGAGGTTATGTAACTACCCAGCTTCTCATTAAACTTTCACTGACGTATTTTAACACCCATTCGTTATTCTTGCTTGAATCAATTATTACTATATTGGCAATTCACTAACTCATCATCCTGTCTACATTTATTTATTGAAATTCTAATATAAGAGATTTCTATTTATTCAAGTAATTTATTTCTATCAGTATGGACTGATAGAGTCTTATTTTATTCAGTGCTAATATTATTTATTTTGAGACAAATTTTTCCAGATTTGTCCAGAAGGAGCCACTTTAAGTACCTTAGGTACCTCTGGGTTCCTTTTTTGAGATGACATTATCATTTTTTAGCATTTATTTTCTGCCACATTACGCTGTTCCAGCCTTATCTTATACTTCCCATGTTCTAGCTTATGTATCAGCCATTTTTTTCAAGGAGCACCAGTTTCTTTTGGTAAGGAATTGTATCTAAAAATGAAAATCCCGACTGATCAGAGTGTAGTATTATTTACAACTAATTGGTCACATCCAGTTACAGATTTATTTGTTCCTCCTCTACTCCCGCTGCTTCCCTTTGGTAGTCTTAAAAAAATTACAATTAAAAAAATTAAGATCTGAGTGCTAGCGTGCTCATTGGTACTGGGTTAGATTTGCTTCTAGAATCTTAGCAGATGGATCTAAGAGGCATACCCCCTATATATACATGTATATTTATACGTATTTACATGCATACATATAGTCTCACATATACCTGTCTTTTTACATTGTCTATGAAAAACGATGAGTTTATACTATATTTCTGATTCTAGTTCATCTTCACAAGTTTCATTCTAGTTGTTCTCCCTTCCATATTTGTAACTCCCTTTTCTAACAGAAACTTGACTCCCATTATCCACAGTCTTATTATCATTTACTCATTTCTGCATTACACAGAAGAAATTTCATAGTTGGTAACCCATGCCATTATAAAACACAGACCTGGTAACTAGAGTTCAATGTTTATTTCCCTTTCATTTTCATTTTAGAATGAGGCTAGATGGTCAGAGTACTGTGTTCCAGTTATTCAGGCAGCATTTCTCCCCTTTCATTGTGATTCTATTATTTATTTTATGTAGGTTGGTTTATTTCTGATTTTGTTTCATTCAGAGTTTTTTTCCTTCTTCCTTATTGTTTTGATTTTTTTTAAGTATAGAAAACATAAACATTGTTGACAAATCAAAACTGTACAAAAAACTACTCAGGGGTCATTCACTGCTGTCCTCATTCCTACCTCTGTCCACCTAGCCTCTTCAGGGAACCTTTCTCAGTTTCTGATTTCTCCTTCCTATAGTTATTGTTTGCAAAAATGAGTAGATAAATAAGTAGATATTTTATTTCTACTTTTTTCTTTTATAAAAGATGGCATAGTATATATACTTTTTTACACTTTTAAATTTTTTTCACTAAACAGGATACCTTGGAAATCCAGATGTTCCCCATTCGTTTTGGTTTTGTTTTGAGGTCACCAAAGGAAGAGATTGATGTTCCTCCTCTACATTAGAGTCCTCTTGTTAAATATTGGATATTCACCTTGGTTTCTGTGTAGGAAGAATTGAACAGTGTTTACACTAAAATATAATACAAAACAAAAATTTTATACTATTTTAAATAAAATTATGTAACAATGTGTTAATAATAGTATATAAAGTAGGCAGTTTCTGGTTATGATAATTTGCTGCCCTAGTCACTTCCTTATTGAGGCAGGTTAGTGTAGAGGTTAAAAGCAGACACCAGGCTTGGAATCCTGATTTGGTGACTTATTAGACTTGTGACCTTGGGCTTGGTTTCTTCATTGTAAATAAAGGTGGTTGTGAGGTTTTAGTGAATTTGTGGGTACAAAACATTGAACATTGTCTATCGTGTAGTGTATATGATAGTGGAAAAAGTTGTTATAATTCTTGTCTTACTGGAATTTAGGAGTATGAATTTATTACTCTGGTATCCATAGAATCTATAAAGTCTGAAGATCTAGAAAACATTTTAGTCATCCGTTTCCGTCATCTCACAATAAATCTGTCATCTGCTAATTTATTTAGCAAATCTAAAAAATTTACACTTTATTTTCATTCCTTGCTCATTCACTATTCAAAGGTGTTATCAGATAAGAATAAAACTTAGGAAAAACAATTAGCAAGATGGAGGTGAATGAACTCTCCACTTACTGAGTAATAGATACGAAATGACATTTGAAAAAAAACCCATTTTTGAGATGTGCTGTGAAGTATTTGGTGTCCCAGCTGATAGTTCAAGAACGAGTGAGTTTTGAAATAACCTAATGAGTGACAGTCTATATCTTATTTATTGCAGTGATAGCATACTGAATAAAAAATATTACTGGTTTTTTTGTTTGTTTGAGGCATGTTCTCTATAACGTCTAACTCTTGGGCACCAGCTATCCTCCCACCTCAGCCTCCTGAGTAGCTAGGACTATAGGCATGCATCAACATTCCTAGCTAATTTTTAAAATTTTTTGTATAGACGGGGTCTGGCTCTGTTGCCCAGGCTGGTCTTGAACTCCTGGCCTCAGGTGTTCCTCCCACCTCGGCCTCCCAAAGTGCTGGGATTACAAGTGTGAACAACCATGCCTGGCTTACTGTTCATAAAGAACAGAATAAATACATTATATTACAATATGACCTAACTAGCCTGAAATCTGTATGATGTAACATTTTATTTATTTTTTTTTTATTTAATTTTTTTTTTTTTGAGTTGGAGTCTCACTCTGTTGCCCAGACTGGAGTGCAGTGACCGCTCCCGGCCACCGCAGCCTCGACCTGCTGGGCTCCGGCGATCCTTCCGCCTCAGCCTTCCGAGTAACTGGAATTACAGGCATGTGCTACCACGCCCAGCTGATTTTTTAATTTATTGTAGAGATGAGTTATTGCTGCCCAGGCGGGTCTCGAACTCGCGGGCTCAGGCAATCCACTCACCTCAGCCTCCCAAAGGCGTGGGATTACAGGCTGAGCCACTGAGCCCGGCTCGATGTAACATTTTAGAGTGAGAAGCCACTTTCTGTTCTTTAAGGAGATGTACAGGTGGAAGTATTCTAATTTTGTCTTCAGAGATACATATTGTTTTTACTTCTTTGCAATTTATGTATCTCTAAATTGAAGCTTTATTGTCTCTCCACAGGGATGCCTCAGCACTGCTAGATCCAATGGAGTGTGCAGACACAACCGAAGAGCAGAGAGTACACAGTCCTCCTGCTTCATTAGTGCCGAGAATTCATGTGATTTTAGTCCAGAAGTTGCAGCACATCAACCCATTATTGCCTGCCTGCCTTAACAAAGAAGAGAGCAAAACCTGTAAGTTTAAGTGTTAAAGCCTCGTGAACTGGGGATTTTTATCCTCAGTGTGTGTCTGGAGCTGCCTGTAACGTGCTCATAGTGGAATTTCGAGTCAGGTCCTTATTTGTCAGAATAAGCTTTTTTCAGTGATCTCTGTTTCTTGTTTCTTTGCCCCATTTTCCTCTTAGGTTAATTCTCTATTGAAATGAGGCTAAAAGTCATATTTTTAAGATTTGCATCAGGTACTGACCAGTATCTTAAGTCTGTACTAGTTGTCTACTGAGTTGTGGTGCTTTGCTCACGTAGTTATTGTTCACCCTTACAAACTTGCAAGGATCTGCTCTGTAACCTGGTCTCCCTTGTTCTTCCAGTTGTCTCAAGTTTCATGTCTGAATTGTCTCCGGTCAGAGCAGAGCTGCTTGGGTTCCTCACTCATGCCCTTTTGGGGGATAGTTTGGCTGCTGAATACCTTATATTACATCTCATCTCTACAGTGTAAGTTCTGTCTTCCTGACAGGAGTTAAGGGAATTTGGTGTGTGTGGAAAGGGGAAAAGAGTAGGAAGATTTCTGATATAATTTTTGTGTTTTAGCTTATCAGGCTTCATCAAGTGGTTTATATTTGTTCACTGTAACAAATGTTATATGAAATCACAAACAAATTCCTTTTTTCACCTTTTCTCACAGTTTCACATTTAGCATTTTGATTATGTCCCCTTAAATTTTAGAGCCAAAATCAGTTAGAAGGCTTGGCTTATAAGTAAAATGAGCTATTTTATTCTTTTTGCATTCTAAATGCTGTCTATACATCCCAAGGTACTACTTCTAAAAACAGTCAACAAAGTACATCATGTGCACACTTAACTTGTAAAATGACACTAGCACCTCATCCTTTCATTGCACTGGATTTCTTTTTTTTCTAATTTCAAAACTAATGTGCTCCTTTGACAAGTTTCAAGAACATAAAGAAGAAAATAGAAATCAACTGTAATTTCACCACTTAGAGATCATCTCAGTTAACATTCTGGTGCAGTTTTAAAAATTTACATATGTATACATACGTAGATCTTAGTTATACTCTAAGCACAAGTCCGTATCTTGTTTTTAGCATTTAATATGCACTAAACATTTTCTCATTATAATTCTTCATGTACTTTGTAATGGCTATGCAGTGTTTCATTATACAGTTGTACCACACAGTAACCATTTATCTAAATGTTAGGCTTTCCTGCATTATCAATAACACTGCAATAAACATCTTTGTGCTATAAATCTTATCTTTCTCAGATGGGATCTGAGAGAGTAGCACATAATAGTTGAGTGAGAGCACAGTCTCTGGAACCAAACCACCTGGGTTCAAATCTTAGCTTCTTGGCTAGGGGAACATGTTACTTAAAATCTCTATGCGCTAGATTTCTCATCTGTAAAATGAAGATAATAGTATAGCACGTACCTCAACATGTTTGTGGATAAATGAGAAACCATTGCCGTACTCAACAGTCTTTGGCACTTGATTAGCACTTATGTAAGTATTGGCTATTATTTTTATTGTTGTTACCCTAATAAATAAAATAACTGGTCAGGGTACTCTGCTTTATTTTTAGTGAGAATATTGGGCTAATTTTTCTGTTCTTTATTTGCTTATCAGTAGAAATCGGGAAATTACTTCAGCTTCTTACTGATTGATTTCTTTTTTTTCTAGATATACAAGAAGAGATGTTCTTCCACTAGGAAAATTTACAGTTAACCTGAGTGGTTGCCCACGGAGCAGTACTTTTACAGAACACTTATATCGAATTATTCAACATCTCGTTCCAGCGGTAAAATCAATATATATGTATTTTATAAAACTAAGCACACTTAACAAATCTGTCTAATTGTCTTTCATTCAGCTCAAATATTTAACTTTGAGATTTTAATAGATTCCCATTTAAGGGGAAACAGGCCTACCAAGTTATATAATTTAAAATATATTTTTCCCAAAGCCTGTCACTTTTTTATTGCCTTAACACAAATTTCTGTTAAGTGTATCAGCACTTTTGCAGTAACTCCCTTAAAATGATACTCTCTCTTGATGTCAATTTGCTCGTGCAATTTGGTATCCTTTCTGTGCATTAAAATCTTAAAGCTAAATAAACTAAATGTATAGGACTATAATTCTTTAGCTGAGGCAATAAAGATCTTTATCTCCGTTGCCCCAATTTTAATTCCTGTTGGAAAGTTAAGCTAACTTTATTTTCCAGGGCATACTACATACATATTACTACGTACTACTGGAATGCAGTATTTGTGTGGTGGTAAGATCTTGGGAGCAGAGGAGTTGATTCTGATTAGTTAGTTGCGTGACCAAAAATACAGTTACCTCTTTGGAAATTTAAGAGGTTGCACTAGATCATTCATTGAACCAAATGTACTGATTATGTCTAAGTTCTATTACCCATCCAGGCCCTCAAGAAGCAGCGATAGACTAGAACAGACCAGCAATTCTTACTCTCCTTATACTTACTAACACTCTGAGGAAAGTATTGAGGACTTGTTGAGAATAATGAGAGTTTCTTTTTTTTAATGTGGGTTATAGTCATTATTAATTAATCACATTAGAAAGTAAAACAACTATATGAAAATATTAGTTCATTAAAAATAAATTGATTACATGTAAACATAAATATTTTTAGAGAAACTTTTTCCTAACCAGAAATAATTAGTGATTAAAGTGACATTGTTTTGCATTTTTGTAAATCTCCTTAATGTAATGTCTGATTAGTAGGAGACCACTGGATTCTCATATCTGCTTCTGCCTCTACCTTCTGGGCTTAGGCAGTCCTTCCACCTCGGTCTCCTGAGTAGCTGGGACTAGAGGTGCGTGCCACTGCAACCAGCTAATTTTTTTATTTTTATTTTTCCATAGAAGTGAGGTATCACTATGTTGCCTAGGCTGGTCTCAAACTCCTGGACTCAAGCAATTTTCCCACCTCAGCTTCCCAGAGTGCTGGGGTGACAGGTGTGAGCCTCTGCACCCAGCCGTAATATGTTTTGAAAGAAGTATATGAAGGAAAATTGGCCTCACACAGATGGAAAAGTAGTTGGCAAAAAGACTGTTTTAGTAGCCTTTTCAGATAACTAGATATTCTTCAATAATAGACCAAAACTGTCCACATGGCATTTTCTTCAAGATAGTTGAGGTGTGGAATCTGAAATCTTATCTGTGAACTTTTCATACTCTGCTGCAGTAAAATTCATTAGTCTATCTTGCACATTGAAAAGGTCTTTTACCCATGCATGATTTTGACCTAATTGACTCCATAGAAGGGTTTTAGCAATTCCTTGGGGGTTCCTTGTCCCACATTTGAGAATTACTGATCCTTTGCCCTCACAGAGGTCAAATTTTTGTAGTGGAAGGCCAACAAATAAATTAATACATGGTATATTATTTAAGTGCCCTGAAGAACAGTGAAGTCCCAGGAGAAGGATAGGGTGTGCTGACAGTGGGCCAGGGTGCACTTGCCTGTGTGTGTGGAGGGGCCAGGGAAGGACTTGCTGACAGGATGGTTTAGAGGAGATACTTGATGGAAGTGCAGGAGCAAGTCAGATGGCTACTGCAAAGTGTCTGTCCTGTGCAGGGGGAAACATGCAAAGTCGCTGAAGCCACAGCATGTTTTAAGTGTGAAAGGGTTATCTGAGGAACATACTGAAGGTGATAGCATGATAAGATATTTCCTTTTTATTCTCCATCATTTTACAGTGGGTTTATGTTTTCTTTTTTACCACATCTCATTCCTTTATATTACTCTAGTGTTTACATCTAGCAAGCTTACATCTAGCAAGTACTGTGAACCTTTTTGAAACACGCTTGCCTCTCTGATATCTTGTTTAGTTTTCATAGCAGGTTACGTATGAGTGACCTGCCTGTGCTTTATGTGGCAGAGCTGAGGCTAGACCCTGCTCGTGGCTATTTCTGCTTTTGGCAGGCCCTGCCTCTTTAGGAACTGTTTATTTGTATCTATAATGTGGTTTCCCCCTCTGCTCCCTCATTTTCTCAGAATCACTTAGCCATTCTCTAAATTTTGACACTATGTCTTACTTCCTCGACAATCTCTCTCCCAATCACTCACAAACACACACACACACACACCCTTTTTAGGCTAGCCTGGTAGAAGAGTGGATTGGAGTATGAAGCAGAGTGAAGAGGGTATTGAGAGCAGTGGGCTTTAGGAGCTGGAGAGGGAGGGAGCGTTTGGGTTTAGGGGATGCTTATTCTGTGAGACTGAATGTGGAGGTGTGTGCGGCCTAGGGGGCATGTCATGAGAGCTCAGTGTGTTCTGCTCCCTGATTTTTCTCTGTAAAATTTGTTCAGAAAGTCTATGGCAAATGAATGGAATTTTAATCAAAGAACATAGAGGAAAATTAAACTCAGCTTTTCTCTTCCTGTCTTGATGAATAAAATACATATTTTATTTTTCTAGCTTGTGTTTTAAAGAAGTTAAGCTTTTGGATATTTGATATTTGTATGTCAATTATCTACCATTTGCTTCATTGTTAAAATAAAAATTATTCCTCAAGTATATTAAATAAAGACGTTTGATAATAAAGCAGCTCATAGAATGAATGAAATTCAAATGTAGGATATAGATACTATTTTTGCTTCTAAGAGTTCAAGAAACCACATCACTGTTCCCTTAGAAATGTACACAGTCATTTTTTCTATATAAAACACAATGTTTAACAATAAACACATATTTTTTTAAAACAAGGAGACATTCATTCTTCATTTAAAACTTCTCTTTGCAGTCTTTTCGTCTACAGATGACCATAGAGAACATGAACTGTTTGAAATTCATTCCCCACAAAGACTACACAGCCAACCGCTTAGTCAGTGGACTCCTCCAGTTGCCCAACAATACTTCTCTTGTAATTGATGAGACGCTTCTGGAGCAAGGGCAGCTGGATACTCCAGGTATGTGCACAGATGTTTCTCTTCTACTTCTAACATCCTTCTGATGACACCAGGTCTAATCATAATTGTCTAGGAAGGATATCTGTGAACAAACACAAATTCACATTTAACAAATATGTGGTATAAAGGCTTGGCATATGAATTTGATTAAAGCATATATTTTAAATATCAACCATGTTTTATCATAATATTTTGAAAATAGTACGGTAGAACAAACTAAAAACAGAAATGGGAGGAGGCTTTGACTTTAGTATAATCTATTACCTCAAAAGATAATGTAGAAAAGATCTAATAAAACTTTTTTTTTTTTTTACCTCTCATTGTGAATTTTTTTTTTTTTTTTTTTTGAGTCAGAGTCTCACTCTCTTACCCAGGCTGGAGTGCAGTGGCATGATCATGGCTCACCGCAGCCTCCACCTCCTGGGCTCAGGTGATCTTCAACCTCCCAAGTAGCTGGAACTACAGGCACACATCACGATGCTAATTTTTTGAGTTTTTGTAAAGACATGGTCTCCCTATGTTGCCCATGCTGGTCTCAAACTCTTGGGCTTAAGCAGTCCTTCCACCTCCCAAAGTGCTGGGATTACAGGCATGAGCCACTGTACCCAGTCATCATTGTAACATTTTAAAACATTTTTCAAAGAATTTCTAAAAACAAAAATTTTAATAGATCAGACAGTTTGAACTGCCCTCAATTATGTAAACCGTTATAAAATTACAAGAAAGCAGATTATTTTGTCTGTGCTCAAATGAAGAGAAATTAGGGGGCACTGTGATAGTGATAAGTTTAAGAGGTAGAAGTAGAAGAAAAAATAATGTGTACACTGGGCACATTTGAGACAAAGATGAGTATAAAACCAGTAAAATTTACCAACTGTTCACTAACTTCTTTGTATTATTTTAGCCCTATAAACACACACCACCTAGAAAGTCATCATACTTATTGGAAACTTTATGTCTGGTTGCATAAAAGATGCTAGATGTTAGACTGTGAGGAGTTTTGGCCCCAGAAACTTCTAGCTTGACTAATACTGTTTGTGAAGCCTGTTACCTAATGAACGTTTAGCTTAGTACACTGGACAGTATCTCACATCCTTTTTTAAACTGTAGAAACCTCATGTCTTGTAGTCAGTGTCAGCAAAACTGTTTTGTTTAGGTGATTGACATCAAATGACTGAAAATGATTTGCTTGCTTTTGTAGGAGTTCATAATGTGACTGCCCTGAGCAACCTGATAACTTGGCAGAAGGTGGATTATGACTTCAGTTACCACCAGATGGAATTTCCCTGCAATATTAATGTTTTTATTACTTCGGAGGGGAGGTCACTCCTCCCGGTATGATGAGTGACTTTTAAACGGAGGGAGGTTGACACTGGACATTTTTACTGTTTCCTGGTGCTGCTTATTCATAAGTTACATTGGTTTTAAGAAATTGTGACTGCTGATTATTAAGGGTATTAATTATTTTGTACTGCCATGGGATGACAACTGACATCTTAGCAAGAACCGAATATCAGTAAATCACAAGTCAGGCAAAGCTGTTGGCAGCAAAAACTCACATAAAGCATAGAAAGTAGAAGCTGTCTGCAAATTGATTAACTTCCAGATTTCTGTTCATGCTGCCATTGACCCATTGTTTTTTGCCAATCTTATGTGAGAAATATTTTAGAGTTCCTTTTATTTTTTAATTGAATAATAATCTTAATTATTATTATTGAGACAGGGTTTTGCTTATTGCGCAGGCTGGGAGTGCAGCGGCACAATCATAGCTCACTGTAACCTCGAACTCCTGAGCTCAAGCGATCCTCCTGCTTCAGCCTCTCAAGTAGCTGGGAATGTAGGCATGGACCACCAACACGTCTGGTTATTTTATTTTATTTTTTGTAGAGATGTGTCTTGCTGTGTTGCCCAAGCCTGTCTCAAACTTCTGGGCTCAAATGATCCTCCCCCCTCGGCCTTCCAACATGCTGGGATTACAGACATGAACCACTCACTGCACTTGGACTAGAGTTACTTTTCTTTTTTTTGGAGTCAGAGTCTCACTCTGTTGCCCAGGCTGGAATGCAGTGGCACAGTCTTGGCTCACTGCAGCCATGACCTCCTGGGCTCTGATGATCCTTCTACCTCAGCCTTCCAAGTAGCTAGAAACACAGGCATGCACCACCACGCTCAACAAATTTTTTGATTTATTGTAGAGATGAGGTCTCGCCAGGTTGCCTAGACTGGTCTCAAACCCCTGGGCTCAGGCAGTCCTCTCATCTCTGCCTCCCAAAGTGCTGGAATTACAGGCAGGAGCCGCTGTGCCTGGCCAGCCACACTCAGTCTTAGAGTTACTTTTATAATGTCCCTAGCCAGGCACCATGGCTTATGCCTATAATCCTAGAGATTCTGAAGGCTAGAACAGAGGGATTACTTAAGGCCAGCAGTTTGAGACCAATCTGGGCAACATAGTGAGACCTCCGACTCTATAAATATATATATTTATGAATAAATATTTTATAAAAAATAAAATGTCTCTAGTCACTAGATAGTTATTTTTATCTGTAATGGTTAAGTGCTCTGCATCATCAGAGCGGCTGATAAAGAGAGCTTTTAGTTTTGAGGTGAGAAATACTCCCAATTGTTAAAAGGTGTATAGTTTCTCTGTATAATAGTGTTCATCTGTGAATGCCGAGAAACAGCCTTTAACTAAGAATGAAATGGCTCATTGGTAAGCTTTCTGTAGGAAGGTGTGATAAACATTTTTAGTTAACTTGTTTATAGGTTGGATACCTTATTATATACTTATTGCTACTTTTGAGGAAACATAAGTAACCAAGAAAAGACTAATTCTTATGATTGCTGAAGTAATCATAGACTTTGTAAATTAATATTGAAAATTGATTCCTTTCTCCCAGATAAGTGGTGTTTTCTCATGCCCTTAGGGGCTGATAAAGATGATGAATCTTCCTAATGTGAATTAATTTAAGAACTTAGAAAATATTGTGTACTACTTCTCTTTTCAGGCAGACTGTCAGATTCACTTGCAACCCCAGCTAATCCCACCAAACATGGAGGAGTACATGAACAGCCTTCTCTCAGCAGTGTTGCCGTCTGTGCTGAACAAATTCCGCATTTATCTAACCCTTTTGAGATTCCTGGATTATAGCATATCTGATGAAATAACCAAGGTGTGTTCAGGTTAAAATCAAGGAGTCTCCTGTGTTGAACTGCAGGATTTAACCAACTTATATTTACTATAATTGCTGATACTGCCATTTTGCTTTTTTTCTTTTTTGTATGTTATATATTTTTGTTCCTCTGTTACTCTGTTATTGTATGGGTTTTTTTGTTGTTTGAAATAGATTTTCCAGTGTCTCTTTTGAATTTCCTTGAAATTTCTCATACAATGTTTTTCTAGGTTATTTTCTTAATGGTTGCCCTGGGGGATAAAATTAACATCCTAAGTATAACATTTTATTAAGGATTTCTGCCAGTTTAATTATAACAATATAAAAAGATTTTGCTCCTTTATAATTCCATTCCTACCTCCCTCCTTTGAACTGCTGTTGTCATACAAATTGCATCTTTATACACTGTACACCCGTCAACACATTTATGATCACTGCTTTATGCAGTTGTCTTTTATTTATTTATTTAAATTTTTTTTTTGAGTTGGAGTCTCACTCTTGCCCAGGCTGTAGTGCAGTGGCTTGCTCATGGCCACCACAGTCCTGACCTCCTGGGCTTTCAAGTAGGTGGAACCACAGGCACGTGCTACCACGCCCAGATGATTTTTTTTTTAATTGTAGACAAGGTCTCTCCAAATTGTCCAGTCTGGTCTCGAGCCCCTGGGCTCAGGCAGCCTCTCACCTCTGCCTCCTAAAGCGCTGGGATTCCAGGCATGAGCCACTGCGCTTGGCCTTCCTTTAGTTCTTTGCATGTACTTAAAACAGCCAGTTGAAAGTCTTTATCTAGAAAGTCTAATGCTTGGGTTTCCTCATGGGTAGTTTCTCTTGACCCCTTTCTTCCCAGAGTATGGGCTATGTCTTGTTGATTCATATGTCTAATTTTTGGTTGTTGATAACTGGACGTTTTAAGTCGTATAATTTGGCAGCTCTACTCTGGAAGTCAGACTCTGGAAATTAAACCTCCCTAGGATATGTTGTTAATGTTGGCTGGTTGTTTAGTGACTTTTTAAAAACTATTCTATAAAGTCTGTTCTGTCTGTGGGCACTGAAGTCTCTGCTGTTAGCTTTGTGGCTAGTGATTGGGCAGAAATTTCCTTCAACATCTGGAAGGAGTAAGTCTCCCAGGCTAAGGGTATATAAGTACAAAAGTTGTGGCAAGCCTTCTACACTCAACCATGCAGTTCACAGTCCTGCCTTAGCCTTCACATCCTGCTTGCACACAGCCTCAAGGTGATGCAGAAGTGAGAGTTTAAGTTTAAGTGGGAGCATGTGTCTGGCTTTCTAAATTCCTGGGAATTCAGACATGTCTGTGAGGTTTTCAAAACTCCTGTGGATATCTCATTCACCAATCTGCTTTTCCGTTCAAGGGTTTTGGTTAGCCCCTTGTTTGCCACAGCTGTTACCCAGTGTCGTAGGCATCCAGATTGATCAATAATTTCTTCTGATTATTTCTGACAAATGCCTTGAGGAGAGAGCCTGTTCACACTGGGCAGCCATGAGTCAGGTTAAACCTTGCCAATGGGTTCTTCCAGGGAACTGACAGGTCAGACGATGACAGTTCTCTGGGAATGGTACTTTGAAGGAGCTCAAGCCCTTTTCTGCCCTCTCTGGTGGTTTCCAGGCTGTTGGTTTTCAAGGCCATCACCCGGAGGGGAAGAGGGTAAAATATGGGAGTAGAACAAGTTCAAATGTCACAAGCTGGGCTCGGTGGCTCAGCCTGTAATCCCACGCTTTGGGAGGCTGAGGTGAGTGGATTGCCTGAGCCCTCGGGTTCGAGACCCACCTGGGCAACTTGGTGAGACCTCATCTCTACAATAAATTAAAAAAAAAAAATTAGCCAGGCGTGGTAGCGCACGCCTGTAGTTCCAGCTACTTGGAAGGCTGTGGAAGGATCACCGGAGCCCAGCAGGTCGAGGCCTGGCCACTGCATTCCAGTCTGGGCGACAGAGTGAGACTCCAACTCAAAAAAAATAAAATAAAATAAAATGTCACAAAGCTCAACATTCTTACCAAGAGTCACTTGGTTTTCTTGCATAAATGCTGTCCAGATTGCTTCACTTGGGTGGTTTATTTCCAGAGTTTTAGAAAGGCTGATTTTGATTAGTATTCTTATTGCCTTAATGGTGGGGACAATTTGTGAAGGTCTTAACTCTGCCATTTTCACTAATCATCACTTTTTCTTTTGTTGAGAAGCATTATATTCGTTATGCCAGTTGCTTATTTATATGTTTGCTTGACCTTAAGTAAATCTTTGAGTTTGATTTTGTTTATTTTCGTCAGTAGCATTGTTTATGTGTATAAGGTTTTGGTTCTCAGTCTTTTCACCTATATTATCTCCTTTATCTAAGAGGCAGAACTGATGACATCCTAATTTTGACATCAGTGATTGAACCATGTTACTTTCCTCTTCCTTACAAAAATGCAAATGTCATTTCCTCTTAAAACTATGTACCAAGAAATCGTTTTAAAGTACATTTACTCTTTTGATAAAGGCAGTTGAAGAAGACTTTGTGGAAATGCGTAAAAATGACCCTCACAGCATCACTGCTGATGATCTCCACCAGCTGCTTGTGGTAGCTCGGTAAGTAGTACATGTCTGTAATTGCCTTTTCAGTAAGTGCTTATGTGTTTCCTGATTTATTCAGCAATAACTGCAGCAGACTTCCAAAACCAGAAATGAACTTTTCCTCTTAAAAACGCTGTGTTGAAAGAACTCATTGAGGGGAATTGCATTTGGCTAGTATCTCTTCAGTGGAACAGGCATGCTGCTTGTTCTCTAAGCTTCAAGGAGTGAGCCACCCTCCAATTCTTACTCTTCAAAGGCTTCTTTGAAGAAGTCTAACTTGGCTTTGACTTGCAGGTAGCTACCAGAGAGTCTTCTCTTTTAACATGGACTGTGCTTTTAGAAGTATTCCTAGGTCTTAAAAATTAAAACTTACTGCCCTAGCTCTAGACTTAGATTTATTTCTGTATTTCAAACCAGGTGTCTGTCTCTCAGTGCTGGTCAGACAACGCTGTCCAGAGAACGATGGCTAAGAGCAAAGCAGCTCGAGTCCTTAAGAAGAACCAGGCTTCAACAGCAAAAATGTGTGAATGGAAATGAACTTTAAACATCTGTTACTTATGAAGAGGAATGGGCAAATTCTAGCCACATCATTGTAAATTCAAGTATCATTTATACCACATGGTTTTATAGATAATTTGTATCACAAGCCAATGACTTTTCCTGAAATCAAGCCTGGTAACATCTGAAGTTTATATGATAATCAGTAAGGGCTTTTACCTTACTGACTTTTGAAGCTTTTGAAGTTTGTTTTATAATTATATAAATTAGTAATGATGTAAAAGATGTCTTTGATATTAAAAGTTTAATATTGATAATGTTGCCAATTACACCACTTCCTTAGCTTCAGATAAGTCATAGGCCGACTCTGTTGAAATGCTGATGCTAACTTCAGGTGAAGAAAACTGTTGCGATTTCAAAGCTAGAGGAACTGTACTCTTAAGATTTCTAAGACTTTCCAGTTGAGGTGGGGCTGAGTGTGTTCAGCAGTCCCGAGTTTGGGGAACGGGGCTTACCTGCCATTGAGTCACATGACTGTGAAGTTCTGACCATCATTTCCTAGACATTTGGCCACAGAAACCTTTTCCCACGTAGTGTTTGCTAACAGGCTACAAAACCAGCCTTTTCCACAGCACCGGCTCTCCCAGAATTGAATCATGGACCAGTAGTAGTATTTCCAAGAACTGGGGGACTAGAGTTGCCAAGTTATTTTGCCAAGTAGCCTGAAATAAATCACTGTGTATTGTTACCATTTTTTTTCCATAAAAGGGACAATCTTGGAATAAGAGAGAGTCCTTTAAATGGAATAAATGTAGCTTTTTTGGGAGCGAACCCTACAACATTGTCTTCTTTCTCATTACATCCCAGCGCGTTTGGAAACCACACTAAGAGGATGCTCCCCTACAAAGTACTGCCCACATGTGAAAAAAGCAAAATAGTAAACTTTGAAAAAATGCCCTCTTTAGAAAGATTTTCTTAATAAATGTGTCATTTAGTTGCTTTGATAATTGTTTTGGATTTTTGGCTTTTTATGAGTTCATCAGTTAGTTCCACATGTTAGATCAGCTAACAGTATCTGCTACTCCAGTAATGGGCCTAATACTACTACAGGTCCACTTCCCCCAGACCAACTAGTTTTAACAGAAATTTTTAAAGGAACAAAAATATCAGAGAGCCAATTAATATACTATAGTAGCATACCTGGCAACAAGAATCTTCAGAAAGGTTAGAACATTACTTTTTAAAGCTATCAGTGGTATATATAAAGATCAGTTTCTTTTGGAAGTAACTTACCTAGTTGGAAACAAGATCAGTTAAATAACCCCTTAAATGTTTTCCTGTAAGGCCTAAATTGACATTGTTAACAAGGGAAACAGGGTCAGCCTTAAAAATCAAGGAATTCATTATGCCTAATGAACTGAAGTAAAAGTTACTAGTTGTTCAACATTAACTTTTCCTACACTCGAATCTATTTTTATAAACTAATGTAAATAATATTTATATTAGAATTCTAACTGGTTTTCATTTTTATAACTAGTAGAATAGACCTTCCTTAAGACTTTTAGAAACAAAACAAAGGCTCAAGTGGATTTCTGAGAATAAAATTCGTTATAATTGTCCTAGGACAAAGTAGATTAGTTGCCATGCGTTTATTGTGCCAACGTAAATTGTAATTTACCAAAGAGAATACATAATTTGCTTGGTCTTGTAGAAAAGTTCCCTTGAAAGAACTCTTTCCAATAAATAAAACTTCCCAAATTACCGGTACCTTGGGCTATTTTTCATGAGTATCCCATGTGGTCTTCTGTGTGGAAAAAGACCCCTGTCCTCTTGGTGGAAGACATCACAGAGCTAAACTGAAGCAGGGGAGGTGATGCAAGAGGTGTCCTCTTGCTCAAGACCCACCGAGGCAGCACAGTGCAACTCGGCTTCAGAAACCCTTTTCTCCTTTGATGAGGTATGTGGACGACCAAGACATTGTTCTGATTTAACATACAGTGTTAATCCTGTATGAATGAACAGACATCTGTATATCCTATTTGGAATTTCTAATGTCTGCAGAGCTTAAACATGCGTATTGTATCACCTACCCGTGGCCTATGTTTTCTCTCATGGTGGGAACACAATATTTTCAGGACCCAGAGGAAAAGCTGGTAGTAGGATAAAGCATTCGGTTTTGAATGTTTGGATTTTAGAGTATAGTTTGTGACCCATTTCATCAAATTTAAAATCACGAGAACACTTCATATGAGTAAAATATTTGGAACAGCCATGCATTAAGTTAACAAATTTACCCTGTTTGTGAATTCTTTAATCTGTTACGCAAGGAACTCTCACACACATTGTCACTTCAAATTACAATGGTACTTTAATAGTCACAAGATTTAACACTTCAAAAAAAATACCACTAATAAATAACAAAAGTAGAATGCTTATCAAAGTTACAACAGACATAATGTTCAGCTGAGAATCACTTGAACAGAGTAAGGCTCTAAAGATAACCAGATAGACCAGTGCTTGTCAGAATACGCATTGCACCTTTCAGATGTTACAGAGGAAGTCTTGGTTCTATGTGATCAGGGTTATGGTCATAGAACCCATTTTAGCACAGTTGTGTTTCAACTAAATTTTCAAGTTGTGGATAGTCTATACAAGGTTTTGAGGATGTCCCCCTGGGAAAAGTCAAAACCTGAAGACTGACTTCTAGAATTTTCAGTAGTCAGTATACGTACATCCGGACATTCCAGGAAACAGCAAAATGAAATGTAATAGGTGCTGTACTCACATCTGATTAATAAGGTTTACTTTATGACTGACCAGTCCTAATGCTCCTAGATTTTAGGGTTTACAGACAGCAAGGTATTAGCAACTTGTTCAAATAGAATATGGGAAAATTAAGAACAAATAGAGAATACATTTCTTAACTTTAGTGTCAGTAACCCTCAATTAACTCATAGAGAATGAGAATGGTTAAGCCATTAAAACTAAAACAGGTTTTTACAATCAAAATGCTTCTCCATACTAGTAACACATTAAAGTCACTAAAAACTAAATGTATAATTTACTTTGTAAAGGTAATATACAGGAATGAACTGACAAACAGAACAAATTATGAAAAATGCCAATCCCCTAATTGTATCCATGTCCATCCCTGTGTATCTACTTCATATAATCCACCCACCCACCCCACTCCAAAGAAATTCAGGTTATATCCCAAAGTGACCTGTTCCTAAATGAATTTCAAGCGAGCTAATTAGTGCTCTGTAGTGTGTAAGCTACTCAGGTCTACACATTCTAGGATGATGTATTTCTGTAGTCCTGACTCTCAAATTTGGAAATCTCAGATTCAGAATCCTTTTAAAACTTTCCAAACATAATTAGAATTTGTAATCTCTAGATTCAGACAGTACAAGTTAAAATACCCTAATATGTGAAAACTTTGTTTTGAATTTTTAAACAAAAGCCATGGAATGATTCTTTGTGGCTAAAAACTAAATCTGAATTATTCGTGTCTGGCATTGTATAAACATATTTTTAAGTTCATTTTGCTGGACTTCATTGACCACTTCAGGTTCTGCAGGACTCTTCTGAACTTTTGCCACTGCAAAGTTTATCCCATGGGTTAATCCAGCTTGGGTAATACTAGCAACCTGGACCATGGAACTTCGAATCTTTGCAAAGGGAGAGACTGCTCTGCTGCTACTGCTCTCTGAAGAAGGAGTTACATGAAGCCCTGTCTCAAGTTCAGGCATGCTGGAACCAGAGCTGGGGGTCTTCTGAGACACGACTGACTGCACTGGTTCAACTGACAAAAACTGTGGGCCTGTCGCGGAAAAAGACACATCTAACTGAGATGGTCGAGAAAGTGTCTGTTCCACTGGTTCAGATTGGGTTTCTTCATTGGAAATTTGATTGGTCACTTGATTTCCTTCTTCACTGGCCTGCAGAGACACAGACCTGGTCTCTGACAGGGGGCTCATTTTGTTTTGTGCATCTTGCACAAATCTGTGGCAATAAATATCCATGGGCTTGGCAAAACCAGTCACCGTATGTATGTTGTCAGCAGAAGGACTTTTCTTCAAAGGAGACTCCTGGCCTCTTCCAAGTCCACTCCCATGAGCAAGAGTAATGTCTGAAGGACCATAAACGCTAACGTCACCGCTGCTGACAGACTGGGATCGACTGCCTGTTCGAGGCGCCGAAGCGATAATACCACAACTAGGAAGAACATAATCTATCGGTCCTACGCTCTCTAAAGAATTAGCTAGCTGCCTGTCTTCATCAGACTTGGAATTTGTAAGGAATTCATCAGAGTGGAATGAGTCATTATCTGAAGACATATCCCCATCAGACTCTGCCTCAACCTTATCATCCATCACGCCTGTGTTTTCCATGGTTTCAAGACTACTATCTGATTTCCAAAGGTTTACTTTTAAGTTTGGTTTTAGAAAGTTAACTTTCATTTCAGGTTTTGTAAAGTTTCCTAGCTTTCGTAGGTTGCCAATATTTACATTGGATTTAGTTTGCTTCACTTTTTGATTTAGAGATGAAAATTTGCTCATTAAAAAATTCTTTCCCTGGGCCAAAGAGCCTTGATTTTGAGATCTGATACCAATGATGTCTTCATGAGGTTTACTGCTTTTTCTACAAATAAGAACAGAAAAAAGTTAATTCCCCAGGGAATCCAGTATACCAGTTCCAGTTATTACTATAAATGAAAATGCTTTATTTAAATTGGTCCCAATTTCTTGAAAACGGTGCATTGCTAATTAATAAACTCAGATAACTCCTCAGAGTTGACACTAAAACAATGCTATTCAATAGAAATATGTAAGCTATATATGGAACTTAAAATTTTCTGACAGCCACATTAAAAAGAAATAGATGAAATTTTTTAAAAAAAAATTTTTTTTCTTTTTTTTGAGTCAGGGTCTCACTCTTGCCCAAAGTCAGGGTCTCACTCTTGCCCAGGCTGGAGTGCAGTGGTACGGTCAGAGCTCACCACAGCCTTGACTTCCAGGGCTCAGGTAATCCTTCCACCTTGGCCTCCCAGTAGCTGGGACTACAGTCATGCACCACCACACACAAAGCTAGATTTTTTGTTTGGTTGATGATTTTTTTTTTTTGAGTCAGTCTCACTCTATCATCCAGACTGGTGTGCAGTGACACGATCACAGCTCACTGCAGCCTCAACTTCTTGGGCTCAGGCCATCTTCCTTCCTCAACCTTCCCAGTAGCTGGGACAAGTATGTGCCACCACACTTGGCTATTTATTTTTTCTTGTAGAGACAGAATCTCGCTATGTTGCCCAGGTTGGTCCTGAACTCCTTAGCCTCTTCTCCCACCTCAGCCTCCCAAAGTGCTGGGATTACAGGTGTGAGCCACCACACCCAGCTGAGATTTCAACAGCACAGTTTATTTAATCCTATATTTTTATTACCACTTAAACATGATATTAAAAGATCTGTGCAACTCCCTGAGGTCTCCTCTTACTGTGGGAGCTTTTCTGTACTCTCAAATCCTGCTTTAAAAAAAAAAAAAAGATCAGCCGGGCTCGGAGGCTCAGCCTGTAATCTCATGCTTTGGGAGGCTGAGGTGAGTGGATTGGCTGAGCCCACGGGTTCGAGACCCGCCTGGGTAGCTGGGCGAGACCTCATCTCTACAACAAATCAAAAAATCAGCCGGGCGTGGTAGCACGCGCCTGTAGTTCCAGCTACTCAGAAGGCTGAGGCGGAAGGATAGCCGGAGCCCAGCAGGCCGAGGCTGTGGTGGCCAGGAGCATGCCACTGCACTCCAGTCTGGGCAACAGAGTGAGACTCCAAGTCAAAAAAAAAATTAAAAATTAAAAAAATTTTTTTAAAAAAGATCTTACTCTTTTTTGAACTAATTCTTTGAAACAGCTCATAATTACAGCACACCTGAATTCAGCCTAGTCACATTCCAAAGGCTTCACAACCACACGTGGATAAGTGGCTACCACTTTGGGCAGTGCAGGTCTAGCAAAGTCATCATCTAAACCAGCAAAGAATCGCTGACTATAATGGAAAATATGGAACATCCTAAGGGTGCCTGTACACATTCCAGTTTGGCTGAATTCAGGCTGACTTCTATGTCAACTCTGATACAGATTTTATTAATTCATTTTACAGACAAAATTAAAGGAATATTAATTATCTTTTCCAAAGTTGAAAAGTGACAGAACCAGGAGTCAAAAAAAGTCTAGCTTTCCAGAGTTCACGTTCCGAACCCACACATTTGCAAACAGATCACAGGAGGCAGCTATTTAAATGAAAATTAGGAATCCTATAGTAACATAGGAAAATGCATGCAATATTATCTTTTTTAGTTTCTCATGTTTCCTGATTTTAAAAGACACAATCTTAGTGTCTTCTCTCCTTTGGCATCCCTCATGACAGCTGTAAATAAGAATAACGACCTGGATGCTGTTTGCCACAAATGTCTCAGTATGTACATTTGTAGTCTTGTTGGTCATGTAGGATCACTGATTGTGAGCATATTGTTAAAAAAAAAAATTAGGTTAAAGAGCTACTGAAATGATTCTCTCCACTAACAAAAACGCCTGAACAATCTTCCTCTAGCTGACAGAATGGTTCTCTTTCCAGTAGAATGTGGGCCATGAAGCCTGATCAATATTCATTAGGAGGAAAATCCACGTTTTAATGTAAAATAATCTCTTGATAGGCATTTTTCCAAATTAAAAAAGCCAGCATTCAAAACATACTTTTTTCTCTGCAAAGTACTTAAATTTGAATGTTCCCTCTCATCAGTTTATGTAAGAGTTAAAAATGTATCACTTGAGGTTAAATGAGTTATATCAAGGATGGCAAAACACCCATAGGGTAGGGATTTGCCCTCAGAGGGGTTTTCTGAGCCGTATTTCATCATGATTCTTGCAAAATGCTACCGAAGTACTTGTGGAGATAGTGAGTGTTACTATATCATTAAACCCGAATGGATAGCCTAAATGTATCTTAAATGCCATGTCACTCAAGAAAATGAAAACCTGGGTCTTCATGGGGATAAACAATCTTTTAGGAGGTGGAAGGGTAAATGAGCCTGGCAGGCAATTTGGCTCTATTAAGAGCAAGTGAAATGTTCACACCATTCAATTCAGATGCCCAATTTGGGGATGCTATTCTAAGGATGTTACCCTAAATATGAAAAAATAATACATGACAAAGACTGCTGTTATGACTTTTTTATAAAAGGAAAAGAAGCTAGCAATCAAAATTTTTAGCAATTGGGTCTAAAGCTGTGTGCCAGGTATTCTAAGTGCATTATCGTTCATCCAGTCTGTACAACTCTAACATAAACTTTATTCACTCATCTTACAGATAACAGAATTAAAGTAAAGGAATATTAAGTATCTTTTCCAAGGTTGAAGGGTGACAGAACCAGGAGTCAAAAAAAGTCTGGATAACTAGAGTTCATGTTCTGAACCCACACAATACATCTGCAAACAGATCACAGCAGGCAGCTATTTAAGTGAAAGTTATAAATTCTATAGTAACATGGGAAAATGCATACAATATTATCTTTAGCAGTAAAAGGTTATAGCCTGTATAGGTTGTAAATGTGTACAAGAAAAATATGACAGCAACCATGGAATAGTATCTTAAATGAGAGCTGTAAACTCATCATCTGTGGCAAACCAAGTATAGTCAAAATTAACCTTGAAACTCCAATAATGCATATAGTATTTATACTGTACAATTTACTAAGTCCATCAGATTCCATTTTTATTCTCAAACTGGAACAAATCATTTTCTCAGGACATTAGATGAAACAGTTTATATTTAGAGGCCTTGCTACTAAATAAAAAATTGCGGTGAGGAAACAAATGTATATATTTTTACATTTAATATAACTATGCAATAGTGGCTGTGTAACAACAATTTGTGTGAATTTTATGTTGTTTAAATATTTTCAGCAATATAGTTATTTAAGATTATACATGAAGATTAAGTTGGTCATGATCAATTTTTGTGTAGGACAATACTACTGAAGCAACAAATCATGCGAAAATATATAGCCAGCCAGGGACTAAAAAACAAGAAAAGAGCCAGGTGCAGTGGCTCACACCTGTAATCTCAGCGCTTTGGGAGGCCAGAGGCTAGAGGATTACCTGAACTCAGAGTGTTCAAGACCAGCCTGAGCAACATGGTGAGACATCGTCTCTACAATAAATTAAAAAATCAGCTGGGCATAGTGGCACATGCCTGTGGTTCCAGCTACTTGGAAGACTGAGGCCAAAGAATCACTTGAGCCCAAGAGATCGAGGCTGCAGTGTCCGTGAGCATGCCACTGCACTCCAGCTTGGGCAACAGAGTGAGAGTACCAACTCAAAATAAAACAAAAAAATGAAAGACAAAAATCCCTCTTAGGGAGTTGCAGATTTTGAGACATTTCTACAATCCTATGAGAGGATTATGAAGTAGCATCTTTTTCTTTCTTTCTTTTTTTTTTTTTTGAGTTGGAGTCTTACTCTGTCACCCGGGCTGGAGTGCAGTGGCACACATGCTCACGACCACCCCAGTGTCAATCTGCTGGGCTCTGGCAATCCTTTCACCTCAGCCTTCTAAGTAGCTGGAACTACAGGAGCACGCTACCACGCCTGGCTAATTTTTTATTTATTGTAGAGATGAGGTGTCGCCAATTTGCCCGGGCTGGTCTTGAACCTGCGGGCTCAGGCAATCCACTCACTTCAGCCTCCCCAAGTGCTGGGATTACAGGCTGGGCTGATCCCGGCCAATTAAGCATCTTAAAACATCCCACTACTAATTCAAACCTCCCTTATAGAAAAATTTCAATTAACGTAGAAGGAATAAGAAAATTAGACAAATCACCATTAGATCACCATAGAAATAATTACTAAAGATCCACCAGTGGTTATGGAAATGAGTAGACTCAAGTTTAAGCAAAAACAATATTTGCATAGTCTTAAAAAGATCTCTACCTAAATATTTAGCAACTATAAAGGGGAAAACAGTAAATTTATAGTGGAGAATCCTGGCAGATACCCTCTTAGACATGTAATCAAGATTAACCTCAACATTAATACGGACATCATGTCCTCCCCTTCCCACAACAAAAATCAGAGCTGTGCATCACTTCTGTGGTTGTTTTTTTTTTTTCCCAATAATCCATAACCTCAGTTTATGAAAAAACGTTGGAAAAACCAAAATTGAGGGACGTTCTACAAAGTAACTGGTCAGTACTCTTCAAAAGCGTCAAAGTTTAGACAAGGCAAGATTGAGGAAATAATACAAATTAGATGAAACTACAGAGATAAGACTACTAAATGTAATGTGGGATCCTCAATTGGCTCCTCAAACGGAAAAAGAACATTAGTGAAAAACTGGTGAAATCCTAGTAAGTTCTGTACTTTGCTTAATAGCATTGTGCCAAGGTTAATTTTTTTTATTTTAAAGGTGTGAGTATTTCTTAGTTTTGATAATGTTCTATAGTTATTTAAGATGTAACACAAAGGAAAGCAGAATGAAGAGTATATGGAAACACTCCAATTATTTGTACAACTATTCTGTAACTAGAAATTATCTGAAAATTCTCTTTATATAAATTTTAAACAAAAGTATTATTTTTTGATCTACAGAAATTTTCTACTTACCTCTCTAACAACACCTTACCATAATGTGATCTGCTCCTCCCTTTCCCCCCCGTAAACACTCTTAAAGAAATAAGACTCTGGATGATAATGCCTTTATTCTGTGGAGACAATCCCAAGAAAATCTTGGGAGAAGTAGTATACTGACCTCTCAAGTTTTTTCTCAATTATAGGTACATCCAATCCCATGGCTTGCTTGGTGATCTGCAGCATCTCTGCAATGCACTGAAGCGTATCTGAAATCCAAATACAACTGCTTGCCAATTTCTCCAAAAACATACTTAAAAAATAGCAGTTCTAACTCATAAAACATAGTATGGAATTTGTGGTCATATAACTAAATACAAATTTACTAGCTTCAATTTATAGAAAACTTCTGTGTTTACTACTCCCCCAATTAACTCAAGGTGTTCTAAAGTCATAATAGAACAGTAATGAGCAAAAGCAAAATAATACAATCAGTTGGAATTACGTTTGTTCTAATTCATGTTTGTCCAAGTACTGTACTAGATGCCAAGGCAACAGCCATGAACAAGACAGGCGTAGTTCCTGCCTGCTACCTATGAGAGGATTATGAAGTGGAAAAGCCCTGGCACTTATATGGCCACTGATAGGGCCAAACACACAGAGTATCCCCTTGTCCCAAACTAAACAATACATTCAAATAATCTCCCTGCGTTGATGGAAACAGAGTTGCTATTTCAAGGTTTCATATCCCAAAGCTATTCCATGTATTAGTTCTCATTCAGTTGGTTATGTTATAAACTATCCTCAACTTTATTTGGGCTTATGAGAGTAGATACAAGGTTATCACTGAATTCTTTTCACCTCTTCCTCTTTTTACCTTTTCCATCCTCTTCTGGATTGCGCATTACAGCTCTCACTGTGTGGAAATAGCCACTTGCTTCCTTGTATCTGTAGTGCAGTCGCATGCAAGAGAACTTTGGCTTACCAAAAAGAGTGGGTTCAGGACCTAAAAACCCAAATGAATATGCATAATGTTATGTCTTTCAAGTAATATTCACTGTCTTCCACATCTTCAAAGGACAACAAATATTCATCAACTAGGTACTTAGGCCATTTTTCTTCATAATATAAATGAAAGCATACAAAATAAAATTTTATCATGAACTGGTTTGACAAGGCTATAAAACCTCTTTTTCTGTCTCAGTTATTTAAATTTTCTTGATTCCTGGGTTAATCTTCCCAAGGAAAATAAGGATACAGTTACAATTAAACTGTATCTGTCACTATCCTCTAAGGAACAGAAAGGAAATCCTAAGAAATAGATTGCTCGGAATATACCTTTCTGGTTTTCAGTAGCTGCCATACTGGTTGCTAAAATAATGTGACCCCACTCTTGGAAACAACAGCATCTGCTTTCTATAACTTGGTTAGTAGTTAAAAATTTACCTATTTCTATTTTTTCCAGGTCTTCTAGACTTAGTCGTTGATACTGGTTTACTTTATCGACTTCATCATCATAACTAAATCAAGGGAAATGAAGTAAAAAGAGGATCAAAATCAAAAGCACACTTGGCTTGTCAGCTGAGGTATAACAGTTGCAAATTATTACTGCAGTTAAAATAACAAAACCTTCCACAGCACAACACATTCTGGAATGAAAAGTTAAACACACACACTATTTTTAAAACTAGATTAAACAAGAATAGCATATATAGTTCAACAGCTAAGGGAAAATAGGTTGATAGATCTAACAATAAAGAAGTCAATTACAAGGTAAAAATAATTTGTGTTACAAAAGCTTGTATACAATCAAAGTAAACCTTAAGCTTAAAACCCAAACTAAAAGGCAATGTGTGCATGTGTGTATACACACACACACACACACACACACAACGTATTTGGGAATCATATAATAGATAAATCTGATATCCAAAATCAAGAGTGAAAAATCCATATGATCAATGCCAACAAGCATTTGAGCCAATGACTAAATAAAATGACAGTTCACACAAAGCCAAAAAATAAAGTGAAATATTTACTTAGAAAATAAAAATTACAAAACAATTTTGGTACGGTATTAGGGAACAATACTTGTATTTTGCTAGTGGCACTGTTAGTTGATAGTCTTTCTAAAGATCAATCTGACGACAAACCACAAAAGTCATATAACTCATCACACCCTTGTAACAAAAGAGAAGCGCACACTCGCACGCACGCGCGTGCACACACACACATTACTGCATAAATATAGCTGCATCATTCACGATAACAAAAACAATTGTTAAGTAATTCAATGCCTAGCAACAGAAAAACACTTTAGTAATACGATGATATGTGGCCATTAACAATAAGAATAAATGGAGTACATAATAACCTGGGAAGTACACAGGAAATAATACTAAATGCAAAAATAACACAATATTATATAAACATCGATTTTAACTCTAAAAATCACACTTTCCAATTGATAAGGATAAAAAGAAGTCAGAATGACATAATAGTTATATAAATAAGGTAAAATGGTTCAATGAAGTTTTCATAAAACATAATAAAACCAGATTCTTAATTTTTTTTAAATTCTAAAAAGGAAACGTACTCAAGTTTAAAAAGCAATATAAAATCAATAAGCAACTTACTAGGCCACGTAGTAGGCACAGTTAGAAAGCAGTAACAGCACATCCACATCTCTGTGAGTAGCATCAATGAGGCTAAACAAACATGACACAGGGAATTAAATATTTTCATCTGTATTTTTTGCCAAGCATGTTTCTACAGTAGAGCCACTTGGGACAAATGATTGGGGGGGAGAAAAATCAGTTCTACTTCTGAAGTTAATTGTAATACAATCTATCTATTTAGAAAACCTTTAAAAAAAAAAACACCACCGGAAAAAAAAAAGGTTTGGGAAGTGGGGGGTGACAGAGAGAAGGAATAGAGCTGAGGGGAGAAAAGGTAGCCAAAGGAAGAGGGAGAGTCCTTAGGGGAAATGGGCTAGCTGGGGTGGGGGCGAATTAGAGGATGCTAAGAGAGGCAGTTAAAGGAAGAAGAAAGAAAGAACAAGAGACTGAGAAGGGAGAAACCGTCCAGATTATCTCACGTTGCCTGATCTTCAAAATAATTGCACATTTAGGATTTTTTTTACACATGAAATATGCATCTCTTAAAAGACTTTTACATAAATATAACATTTATGTGCAAAAAAGGACAAGTCCAAGGTACTTTTGCGCTTTTTTCACTAAAGATTAATTTACTTGGCTTTCAAGGAACAGGGAAACACATCCTTATTCTAAGTCCTTTTTGCCATATTTATACCTACTCTAAAGTCAAAGATCAAAATAAATATTATAAACTAGAAGATTGTTAATTACCCATCAAAACAATAACTACAGTAAAATGTACATCCTTGTTAAATTACTAGTAAGAAAAATGTTACAGTATAAAAATACAAATAATCAACAAAGCACACAGACTGAATTAAAATGAAACTTTTAATCTAATATTAACCTAACGTCAATAACAGCCTTTCCATCAAAAGGTGAAGATCAATTGCATTCTCATACTGGTCTCCAAATTCTGCTTGTAAGAAGAGCCAGCATTTATGCCTGGATTTCATACCTATTCCCTTAACAAAATGCTACTTTTTTAAAAAAAGGAAAATGGTGAAAAAACTTTGTAGATAGACTTAAACCAGGTACTTAATCTGCGTGAAAATGAAGTCATTGTTTAACAACACTGCAGGGAAGGATTTACCAACATCTTAAACTGCAGTTTTTTACATCAGCAGCACCTTGTTGCAGCTCCACACTAAAAAAGTCTAAATTTAGCATAACGAATTCACCTCAATTTTCATGGAAAATAATATACTGAGAAAGATAATGAATGAGATGGTAAGATGCCAGAAGAAGTAATAGAGATCGTTTCTAGGAGCCAAAATCCGAGCACTAACCAATTAATTGATGGAAAAAAGAAAACGATCCTGGCAGCTTCACTGAGAATGATACCAAATAACATCGTAAAATGCGAATTTAGTTTTTATGCATTGATACTTACGTGCACTCTGAAAATTGATGCTTGAGCCAAGCCTTAAAAATTACGTCACGACACATTTTAATACGAAATTAATTCTACTCCTACTAATTACAGCGTTACTTTCATCCTAGCTCCCTATTTTGGCATTAATATTTACATCAGCCAAATGACATGATCCTCAGTCGAAAACATTATGTCCTTAACGAAAAGCACTTGGCACGTAACAGGCGGTCGAGAATGTCAGCCCTCCCCCCACCCCCATTTTTGCTGAAGTCTTAGCTGCAGTAAATACTTAATTCCCCTCCCCATCCACCCTGCCCCTCACGAAAGAAAAGCACGTTTAATACGGACAAGAAGCAAAAAGAAAAGCCCTGCGGTGCTCCCCACCCCCCACGCTTGCAGCTCTGAAGGCGAAGCTGCTCTACTCGTTTTTGTTTTCCCGCCACTGAGGCAAGCCCTCCTTCCACACGATGAAGACAAAAATTGCCAGCACCACATGAAGCCCGACCACCGCGACGATGGTCGCGTAAAAGGCGCTGTCTTCGGGGGACATTAACATCAGACTTTGGAAAAGGAGCAGTTTACAGGAAAAATACAAGCCCACAGGAACTTTAACCATAAGTCCTGCAAAAAGGAGAAAAATCTTGAAAGTCATAGCCAAAACGCCGTCAGACTTGGGCTCGGCGGCGGCGGCAGCCCGCTGCGCGGTAGGCGGAGGCCTGTGCGAGCGCGGCATGGTCGGTCGGTCCGTCCGTCCGTCCGTCGATGCCTCGAAGCTGTGAGACGGCCCGTAGCCGACCTCGCGCCTGCAGCGAATGCGGCGAATGCGGCAACTGCGACGCGGCGGCGCCAAGTCACGCCCAGGGGACACGTCCAGCTTCCGGCCGCTCACTTCCGGCCACGGCCGGCAGCCAGTGCGCCTGCGCACTCCGTCCTGCGCGTCCCACGCCCTCCGCGGAGGGCACGGACCCTGGCCCAGCGGGGGAGGGGTGCCAAGGTGGCCGGCTCCCGCGAGAGTTGCCGGCGCCTTCGTCTTCGTCAGGGACTGCCCCGCGGCCGGAGGGGCTGCTGGTGGGGCGGGCGGGGCGCCATGACCGAGCGTCTGTCCCTGGCACGGTCACACGCTTAAGGGACGGCGGCTGCCGCATGCCTGGCCACTGAAGGCGCGCGGGTGGAAAGGGGCCCTTCACCTCCGTGCGTGGAGAGCCGGCTGAGCAGAGTTGGCAGCACCGGTCGGTCCTGAAGATGCCGACAGCACCTCCGCTGCGCCCCTGCTCCTTCACTTCGGGATTCCTCTTGCCGCCGTCCACAGAGTCAGAGGGCTTTCTGCGATAAGTGGGGCCGGCCGCGGACAAGAACGGCCAAAGAGGGCAAACCGGGACACACCGAGGCCGTCTGGGGGGAGTGACCTGGGCTGTGACCTGGGCTGCGGGCGGCGGGCGCCGCAGGGAAGGCCGCTGGCAGGGATGCGCCCGTGCTGGACAGCTCCGGCGCCGCGGGGCCAGGGCACCGGGTCGGCGGCCATTCCTGCGCCCGACCCGCTGAGCGCCCGTAAGCCGCTTACCACAACTGCTTTTCTAAACTGGGCAGGGACTGCAGTGAGGCGAGTGAGGAACCGGTCTCTGGCGTAAAATTTAAAGTGTGCCATTGATTTTCTCATCAAGATAATTAGTGCAGTCTAAAAAACCAAAATTAATGCAAAAATAGGATGAACAGAATAACAGTTAAATATAGAATTTACCCTGCACTTCCACAGGCTGCCTCACTTGCCCAACCCTGTCCCAACAAAACTTTACTTACAACTCAACAATCCAATTTAAAGCTGACCAAAGGATTTGAATAGATTCTGTATTTTCCAAAGATACAGAAATAACCAACAAGCATAAGAAAAAATCCTCAATATCATTTGTCATTAGAGAAATGCAAATCAAACCACAATGAGATACCACTTAACATCCACTAGGATGACTACAACTAGAAAAAAAAGGAAAATAAGTGTTGCCAAGGACTGGAGAAATTGGAACCCTCCAAACTGGAATACACTACTGGTGGAAATGCAAAATGGTGCAGCCTCTGTAGAAAATAGTTTGGCAGTTTCTCAAAAGTTAAATGGGATTACCACATAATCTGGCAATGTCCACTCCTAGGCTAGGTATACATACAAAAGAACTGGAAACAGGTGTTCAAATTTGTACACAAATATTCACAGCAGCACTATCTACAATGTTCAAAGTGTGGAAGTAACCCAAGTATCCATCAATGACAGAATGGATAAACAGAATATTGAATATCCATACAATGGAATAAAAATGAATGAAATTCTGATACATGCCACAACATGGATTAACCTGGAAAAGAGTATGCTGCGTGAAAGCAGCCAGTCACAAAAGGCCACATTCTGTATTATTCCATTTGTATAAAATGTCCAGAATAGGCAAATCCAAAGACAGAAGCAGATTTGTGGATGCTTAGGGCAGGGATTATGGGGAATGGAGAAGTGACAACTAAAGAGTATGGGGCTTCTTTGTAGTGGAAAAAAATGTCCTATAATAGACTGTGGTGATAACTGCACAACTCTATGAATTTACTAAAAATCACTGACTTGCCAGGCATGGTAGCTCACACCTGTAATCCCAGTACTTTGGGAGGACAAGGCAAGAGGATTGCTTGAGCCCAGGAGTTTGAGACCAGCCTGGGCAATATAGTAAGATCTCGTCTCTACAAAAAATTAACAACAACAATTAGCCAGGTGTGGTGGTATGCACCTATAGTCCCCAGCTACTCACAAAGCTGAGGTAGGAGGATCACCTGAGCCCAGGAATTAGAGGCTGTGGTGAGCCGTGATTGTGCCACTGCACTTCCGCCTGGCTGACAGAGTGAGACTCTGGCTCAGGGTGGCAAGGGGGACAAACCATTGAATTGTGTACTTTAAATAGGTGAACTGTACGGTATACGAATCATATATCTCAATAAAACTGTTTAAACACACCCAGTCTAGGAGCGGATGGTTTATGAAGGCAGGCAGGTGGTGACAGCTGAAGTCCCCAGGTCTGAGGAGCTGAGTCCCCCACTGGCTGGCTCCACAGAGACCCAAGGTCCCGCAGCCACATCTCTCATCTTCCAACAGGGGCCATCTGTTCTGGGTCAACATCTCCAGCTCAGCTTGATGGGCTGTACAAACATTCTATAGCAATCTCAGTCCAAAAGCAGGTTTCCAAACATCTCTCATCAAGAGAAGGGAAAGGATGCAACAACAGGAAAATTCTTAAGTCTTGTAAATGGAAGAAAAATACCAGCCGCAGATGTAAAGACGTCTCAGCAGTTTTAGAAAGAATCATACCCCCACAAGACAAAGTAAAGTGATGCTAATAAATAAAGGGAAATTCTTAACTGTCTAATCAATATGCAGACATAACAGTTAACTTTGAAAACTCAAACGAGCACATGATAACCACTGGAGAGCAATCTACCTGAGAGGAAAATAAAGTAAAATCTGAAGAAGGTAATGGTTCTCTATAAAAAGCACTGCCTCTGTAAGAAAACACAGAAGATAAGAGAACACTGAAAACCACTCAGACACTGATGGCTCTTGCTCTACCTACTCTACCTCTTCCTAAGCCCAAGCCTAAACCCTCACACCACCTGGCCCTCCAAAAAACGGGCTCCTGCTCGGACCAGCCACAGAGTGATTGAGTACCTCCCATTAAAAAAAAAAAAAAAGCCAAGACTCCAGGTAGGCCACCGCCACCTCCTCCTCCTTCAAGTCAACAAGCCAAAACATGACCTGAGAAGCCACTGGTTCCAAAGCATCAGCTTCAGTACCCTCTCTGTCTGCCTCATCATGTCTCAAAACTTCAAAGGAAGCAAAACACTAACAATAGGAGCGACCAAGGGTCAAAAACTTAGCAAGTGGCCAACACCTCAACCATTGTGAGACACAACCAATCTGGCGTGGTCAGCCTTACAGAAGATCTTTCTGGAACCAGAGAGGAGAGTCTCAAACCTCAGCAGCAGTGCCTGTCACCAAAGAGCAGACTACACACCAATTCTACAAGTCTGTGGCCCATCTGTGTCCCCTGCTACTCCTCCTCTGACAGTCATTCTCTCAGACATGCCTGTTGTCCTGGTTAGCAGTGGAGATCCCCTGCCCATCTCTCCCTGAGACCCAAGTCAGCATCTCTGGACTCAAGTGCCAACAAACAAAACCACTCTCCAACAAATACTAGCATACAATGTTATTGGAGAAAACAAACAAGAAGACAAGAAGACAGGGAAGGCAGCACTTCAGCTAATGATTCCTGTGTTAATGGAAAAATCTTCAGAATCTTTCACTGTTCCAAAGGATACAGCTCAAAGGAATCACTGGACCAACGACTCTGATGGGCCTAATTTGGACACCAGTGGTCACAAGGAAGAAGATGAGGATGGCAGTAGAGGCTCTGGCAAGTAAAATAGGCAAAGGATACATTCACACTCTCTTCAGCAACTGACCACTAAGAACTGTACGGCGACGTCTGAGGAAGAGTCAGGGAATCCAACAACAAATTGAAACGAATCAGGAGACTTAGTCAGGGGCCCACCACTGAAGATATCCTATAGTAAAAGAATAAAGTAAAATCAAAACCACACTGAGATACCACCTAACTCCAGTCAGAATGGCAATTATCAACAACTCAAAAAATAACAGTTGCTGGAGAGGGTGTGGTGAAAAGGGAACACTTCTACACTGTTGGTGGGAGTGTAAACTAGTGCAGCCTCTGTGGAAAGCAGTGTGGCGATTCCTAAAATCTCTAAAAATTGACCTTCCATATGACCCTGCAATCCCCCTACTGGGAATATACCCTGAAGAACACAAATCACTCTATAAAAAAGATACCTGCACACGTATGTTTATCGCAGCATTGTTCACAATAGCAAGAACCTGGAAACAACCATGCTGCCCATCAAAAGAGGACTGGATTAAAAAAATGTGGTACATATACACGATGGAATACTACGCAGTCATAAAAAAGAACAAAATCATGAATTTCGCTGCAACCTGGATGGAACTAGAGTCTATAATACTGAGTGACCTCTCACAAAAACAAAAATCCGAATATCACATGTTCTCACTCATATAATGGACCTTGAACATCCAATGCAATACTATGAGAAGATGACGGATGGTACTGGGAAACTATGCGGGGGAGGGAGATGGGATTAACAGTAGCAAATATCTGTCGGGGGATGGGTAAACACTTCTTATCTACAGGGTGCCTGAATGAAACGTAATTGTACACCTAACCCTTAACTGTACCCCACAAAACCATAATAAAAAATACTGATTAATGAAAAAAAAAAAAAAAAAGAATAAAGTAGAACAAGAAGCAAAAATGCAACTAAAAAAGCAAACTCAGCAGAAAGCTGAGCCAGAGACTGATAGTGGCATAGCTACAAGTCCTGGGCCAGGTTAACACGTACAGACAAGGCAGCAATAAGGATAGAACTAAGTGAATTTAGAGGTTTCACTGTCCATCATAAAATGTGAGACTATTTGGAAACATACACTGATCATCTTTGGGGATAGCTGAAGCCTAACAATGCACCGAACGTGTGTTTCAACGTAACTTGCAGGAAAGGAGGAGGGGGCACTGCTTTGTCACCGATAGAGCCCATTTCCAGCACGTGTGATTGATGGCAGAAGACAGTCACCGGCTCCCTGTTCTCGGAAAGTCAGATTCTGCATTGCCAACCAAAGAAAAATGGGGGGTGTAGTTGCTGGGCGCTGGAGAGGAGCCGGAGTCAAAAATCAGGAAAAAAGACAAGGATTTAATTATGTTAATGAAGGGAAGAAAAGGCT